AGAACACAATAGGTTTACAGTTTACAGTTTAACAAGGATAGTATCTTCTTCAGAACATTCACTACACCGCATCCTCCTAGAACACAATAGGTTTACAGTTTACAGTTTAACAAGGATAGTATCTTCCTCAGAACATTCACATCCTCCTAGAATACAAGGGGGGGTCCTTAAAGGGACAGTAAGCGTAATTTCAAATAAACCACCATACGAAGATTACAATGCCCAGTTTAAAACGGTGCCTCGAGTAACTTTGTCTGATTAAGTTCAAATTATATAGGCTGTTTTTTCATTTGTGGTTTCTCTGCCAAAGTGGCTTGCTCATTTTTTGCTTATAAAAAGCAATAAAGAAATTCACGGCAATAAACACTTTTTAAGTCGGAACACAAAGTTCTCTTCCACATTTTTTTATCCGATTTGGGTTTCAAGGGTACTGTTGTAAATCAGGCATTGCCATCTTTGCATGGAGAGTCACTTCCAAAGACGCTTAAGTCCCTTTAAGAGAATGATTGAAAATATGAAAAGGCGGAATATAGGAACAAACCTTTTCGATAGGGATATTCAGATCGACATTAGAATAATATTATTTTAAACTCTGGTCCCTCAATTTATTTGAATAATATGAAACTTATATAAAGGACATGACAGTAAAATGATAAAACATGTATATTTCAAACTACTTTAAGCAGTTTCATTCATTTGTGAATTAGTCTGACTGTAAATATGATGAGTCAGCTTGATAAACATCTTTTGCAGATTTTATAAAATGTAAATCTTAACGTAGAATTCAATTTACTAGGCACAGATCAGATCAGAAAGAAAATAGCTAGTTCGTAATTTTGAACATAAAAAATAAATTACTCATTTTCAAAACGCGCAAATCTTTAAAGGAATTAAGTCTTTACTACAAACTGTGATTTTCTAATCCCCATATATAACTGCAGCCCTTTGTTTTCGACCTATAGATACTATAAACTTTGTTTTCGACCTATAGATACTATAAACTTTGTTTTAGACCTATAGATACTATAAACTTTGTTTTCGACCTATAGATACTATAAACTTTGTTTTCGACCTATAGATACTATAAACTTTGTTTTCGACCTATAGATACTATAAACTTTGTTTTAGACCTATAGATACTATAAACTTTGTTTTCGACCTATAGATACTATAAACTTTGTTTTCGACCTATAGATACTATAAACTAAGATTTCTGTTAGATCAAATAACCCAAAATTAAAGATGTATGGATTAGAGCATTTGAATGGTGGAAGACCTATTCTTTTTTTGTATTTTTTTTTCTATATCCCTAACATTAGTTTATTTCAATAATACTAGTGGTTGAACTAATTAAAAGTTTATATATTCACTTTAAAACAATTAGCAGGGAAACAAAAGGTAAATTAGCATCATTCATCGAAAAATATTATTCTTAAAATTGTTTTAAAAGATTCAGAAACTATTCAACAAAATCATCGAATTAAGTTGAAATTATTAAATAAAATATCTAAACAGTGATATCAAAATTTTGCTAAAACAGCAAATTCGCCTTTTTGCAGATTCTCCGAAATTATTGAATATTTTAAAAATGTTAATATTTTGAAAATTTCAATAATGCCAAAGTCGAAATTATTGAGAAAAACTAAAATCTCATGTTTTGTACAAGAATAAAAAAAATTTGCCAAACAAGTGAATTTTTTGCAGGTTCGCAGAAAAAATTAATATTTTTCAAATGTGGTATAAATTATTAATTTAAAAAAGCTATTGGGAGATTTCAAGAGAAAAATTAAGATATTTTGAAAACCTAAAATAATGGAATCTTTTTTTATTATAAAAAACCACCACTCAAAAGGGAATCTTTCGGATTGCTAAACCCCACTGAAAAATTGTCAAGACGACATTTTGTAAATCCTTACCCATTAGACAGTAGAGTCCGATGAAGACGACATATATAAGAATGATGAGAGCAAGAGCAACTACTAGTATCACACAGTTTATGGAGTTTATGTACAGTTCAGACATTATCCTTGTGCTCATATCAAGTTTACCAGGACTAGTCGCCATTCATATTTCTGAAAATTAAGTATTACATCATTTTGACCATTATTTTACCGTCTTAATCCTTATATTCACGATTACCTGCACCTGTGTTCTTAAGTTTGTTAATTAAATAATCCATTAGATTACACTATCTAACACGGGCAGCCGCAGTACATATGAAATTCCGAGCCGAGTCAACCTTTTTAGTGCCAGTTTGTACTGTACTTAGCTCTATTGACAGGACTAGCCGGTGCAACAAGGTTGGCGCGGCCAGACTTTATGCTTTATAAAGGTTCAATTTATTTTTACTAAATGGGCAGAGGTGCGTGCTAAGGCAGAATACATAAAAACCCTGGGATCTTTACATCTTAAGAGTTTCCGTTCTTCTTTAAAGTATCATCATTTGTTGGTAACTCTGTATATCGACTTTGCATATTACAGGGTTACTCAATATTCACGAAGTATGAAACGACTTTACGGGGTTTAGCCAGCCCCCCCCCCCTCGCTTGAATTCAAGATTTCCCGTAGCTTTACAATGCATGTCAAAACAAAATGATACTTTAAAACAACTAAAATTAAAGAAACAGATTAAATGAAACCTGTTAATCGTCAGATATAATAAGTTTAATGTCGTCATTATATTCTCATCCTTTATAGATAACCCTGAAGATATTTAAAATTGTCCTGTATCAGAAGAGGATGGCATGTTGGATTCACACCTTACATCTTTTACATCTTTTCAGTTTTAAACTTTTAATAAAAAAGGTTTCTGATGTTTTGTGCGATGATTAACTAAAACTTGGATTCACATTCAAGGTTTAAACAGCGTAAATATTGTTTAGATAATCATCCATCCTTCAAAAGTCTCCCCCCTCCCTCTCCAAAGTGTCCAGTATAAAAACTAGTTTAAAAGAATGCAACAAAAAAAACTTTGGAATAAATGATTTTATTTTATTTTAGAAATGTCGGTGGAGATTTTTTTCCTGAGCAATTGTTGTAATAAAATATTGAGGGAACTTTTCTACAAACAGTTCTTTTGCATTTTACAAAATACCTAATTAGAGATATTTTAAAAGTAAATAACCTAAGACGGCGAAAATTCTCCCAGTTTCTTGTACTTACTGTTTAATATATATAATATGCTAAGTAGCAAATGTAAGATTGATATCTGTATTGCGTAAAAATAAAAACTGTTGAAGCTACGAGGTCACAAAGTTGTACCAGCTTAATGCCACTTAAATTTGACCTTCTTTTCCTGTGTAGGTCAGCGTGGTGCAACCTATTCACATAAAAAAGAAAATATATTTCTATTAATATATATCTGGAAAATATCTGGAATGAAGAATTGTACCAAGGTCGGAAAATAACTCTGTGCCAATTTGGCACGAAATCCTACAAAAATATATAATACCAAATCTCAAGAAGCAAATGATAAGGCACAGTTGTTCTTACTATATAATAATGTCCAAAAGCAAGATGGAGAAGAGGTTACATTTGTAACTCTTACCTTAATCCTATCTTTCAACAAAATGTCACTCAAAACTCTAAAGTAGGAACATAACGTTTAAACTGTAAAACACTTGTTTTTAGCTTTAGATTTTTGTGTGAGAGCTTTCATTTTATGGAACAATGTGCTAGGGTAATCCACAAAGGATGACACTGTAAAGCCGACTGATACTCTTAAAATATGAAAATCCTTAGTTTAAATTAATTCTACTGTAAATTATGTATTGGTTTAGGAAAATAAGTAAGAAATTGCAGGGAATCATGATAAAAGATAAAAGATAAAAGACACGAATAAATTCCGGACAGTCGTCTCTAAAGTCTCATTCTTTTATAGGTAACCCTGTACACAGCTCTACCTTTACCCTACTTTTAACTTTTATTGGTATCTAACTTTTGTTTCAATTATCTAGCTGCCTATTTGACTATCATACTAAATATGAAACAATATCCCTGTCTAACTATCCAACTATGAAGTATGAATATATTGGTATCTAACTTTTGTTTCAATTATCTAGCTGCCTATTTGACTATCATACTAAATATGAAACAATATCCCTGTCTATTTATCCAACTATGAAGTATGAATATATCGGTATCCCACTATTGTTTCGAATATCTAGCTGTCTTAGCATCTATTTGACTATCAAACAATATCCTTGTCTAACTATCTAACTATACAATAATATCCCTGTCTAACTATGCAACTATGAAGTATGAATATATTGGTATCCAACTTTTGATTCAAATATCTATCTTTCTTAGCATCTATTTGACTATCAAACAATATCCCTGTCTAACTATCTAACATGAAATAATATCCCTGTCTAACTATGTATAACTATGAAACAATATCCCTGTCTAACTATATAACTATGAAACAATATTTCTGTCTAACTATCTAACTATGAAATAAAATCCCTGTCTAACTATCCAACTATAAAGTATGAATGCTGAACTGCGGAGGCTGACTAGACCGCTGAGGCTCCCAACCGGAGGCTATTTCTTTACCAGCCTTCTCTTAATTTTTCTCACTTTTTCTTCAACCTCTACTCTCTACCATTATTCTTTTTCTCTCTATTTGCTCATCCTCCCCCTACCTCCCTCCCCCCTCTCTCTTCTCTACCCCTCTTCGTTTTTTCTTTTCTCTCTATTCTTCTCCCTTCTCCCTCCTACCTCTCCACTACAATTTAACCTGAACTTCGGAGTCACTGGAAGAATTTATAAAATGTCGTCCTCCAAACCTTTAAACCTTTAACTGATTTTGGAATGGAATGCTGCGCGGATAATTAGTTTTTTAATTGAATAATTATATGGATGGAACTCTTGAAAACTGTTCTAGCATATTTCACAATTACTGAGATTTTAGTTTAATAGTATAAAACCCGTTGAAAAAGTGTCAAGACAACTTTTTATATATTCTATCCATGTCTGGAAAGGTCTGGAAAGGTCTGGAAAGGTCTGAGTTTAAATGAAATATAATTTATCTACTCTCTGACTCTATCCCGTTTGTGATTCTACAGTTTTTACCTGTACACTTGTAAATTGTAATTGTATACCTCATAACTTCATGGTTGATCTCGACTAGATCTTCAACTCTACCATTTATACATTTATTTATTATCCGAATATCATGATATTTACAGTTACTATTGTACAAATTATTCTGATTACCATCATTTATGGTTGTTGCACATGCCCAGGCCTAAAAATATACAATTAATCATAATTATGTTCTTAAAGGGACTGAGGTGAAAACTTTAGAATGGTGGATATCAAGATTAATGCTCAAACTCGGTTTTACTAAACCGAAGATTTTTTAAAACGCATTCGATATCCAATTGAAAGAAGTTAAAAATTTAACCAATCAGTGTCTCATGATAAGATGTACTCTTAAACTTTTGAAACCCCGGTTTTTTTCTGGTGTTGATGGTGTCATATCAATTGAACTAAACATCGGTTGAACGAACGTGAAGTTTTGGATTAATGTTTATTAAGACTAACGTTCAAAATGACAACACTCCTGAAATATGTTATTATAATAATTTCATATTAGCATGATTAAATTCATATTTGTTTAAATGCTCTATAAGCCGGCTTTTTAACAGCTGACTTTAATTCAATCGGATATTAGTCCCATCGATATAGCATTGTATCTGTAATTGTTATCAAACGTAACTTTTATACAGTAGAAATATCCAAAAAAGGATTAAGAAGAAAATCAAAAGTGTGTACATTGGATAATCAGATTAATATTAATAATATTTTTGATTTTGTTTTTCAAATAATATTTCGATGGCGCTGGATTTTCGAATATTCCTGGATAATATGAAAATGTCGTCTTCATTATAAAAAAATTCCCGAAACAGGAATAAATGTTTTCAAAAGTAACTATCAGATCATAAAAAAAATGAAAATATTATGAAATATCAACTATATACATACGATTGCGTCGAAAAATAATCGATGTTTATTGTTTATAATATCTGAATGATTTGTTTGGAATTAAATTCATTTTTTCGATCCGAGTAAAAAGTGTCAACTTTTTAAATTTTTATGGACGCTACGTTCTTCAGTATGAGTCGAATGTTGGAAAATCCAGCGCGAGCGAAATTTTAGATGTTAACTTTATACGAAAACGTCTAAAAATAATCGATGACTATTGTTTGTAATATCTGAAGTATTAGTTTGGAATTAAATTGATTATTTTACGATCCGAGTGGCATGTTGTAACTTTCTGAATATGCATAGACGCTGCGTTCTTCAGCATGAGTCGTTTTTAATAATTTACTCCTTATAGACACAACAGATATAAGTAAGATTAGTAGCGAACAAAAGCGCTTATTTTTCGCCATAAGCCTATACCCCCTTTCATTTTTCGCGAACACTCCCTTTAAGATACGGTATAAAACTACGAACTCATTGAAAGTGTTGCAGAGAGCTAGATGGGTTTGCACAATGTACATTATAGTTCTTTAGAAGTATAAAACATTTTACGAAATAAGAAAGATTTCATAAATTTTACAAGACGAGATCGATCAGCATTTATTAATACCAACATATCCCACCAAACAGAACTGGATGAAACGATTTTAATTGTATAAGTGGAGTTAAAATTTACAATTGTCGTGCCATAACAGGGTGATTACACCAACTTTTGATCCAAGTTACAAACTGTGATTTAAAAGTTTTTACCCCAAGATTTAGCCCAATTGGTGAGCAGACTTAAAAACTGGTTCAAAGTCGGTTTTAGTACAAGGCTATATCAAGCCTAGTTATGACAACTGGAGTTTAAATCAACTTTAAACTCGGCTAAACCTCAACTTCTGGAGTAGAGTAGTAGAGTTAAACTCTTTTTTAACTCAAGTCTTGGTTTTCTGGGACAATGTTTTTCACACCAAAAAAGGGAAGTGACCCCAACTGCATTAGAGTAGAATATGGTGAATCTATGTAAGAAAGTCCCGGGAAAAAAAGTTTCTGGAGAAAAAACCTGGAAATAAAACTTTAGAAAAAAAGTCCGAATTTTATCAAGTCTCCGGAAAAAAGATCCCAGGAAAAAAAGTCCTGAAGAAAATAAATCCGAGGAAAAGAAAAACCTGGAATTGTGAATCATGAATTTTCACTTGTTAGAGGACTTTTTTCCGAGGACTTTTTTGTATAAAATCATACTGCAGAGCAGATAAAAAGTCCTAGAAAATAAAGTCTCGAATTGGTAGGACTTTATTTCCGGAGACTTTTTAATAAAAGGACTTTTTTCACAGGACTATTTTGGTGTGAAATTTTAGGATTTTTTTTCCCCGGAATTTTTTTTTCCAAGTACTTTTTTGGCGGTTACCGAATATGGTCCGGCCTTTAATGAGAATAAACATGCTAAGAGAACTCCGCTATTGGGTGATAGAAATACAATGCAATTGATGTGATTTTTACATTCCAGGTTTTTTATTTTTTTTATTTGTCCGTTCTATTAAAATTTAAAATAATAAATAAATTCTAAGTGTTTTTTTTACAAGTTTGCATTTATTACAATTGTTAAAAGATAACAGTCTGCATGACAGAGTTAAGATTTTGCAGTATTAAATAAAGCAGTGTTTCTGAATATTTAATTCTGAAACATTTTAAAACTTTCATATTTTACAGAAAACGGAAAAGTGGTTCACTGATATAGGCTAAAACTTCCTTTAGGGTAAAACGACCTATAGGGTAAAAAAGACCTATAGGGTAAAACGACCTGTAGGGTAAAACGACCTATAGGGTAAAACGACCTATCGGGTATTACGGCCTATAGGGTAAAAGGTAAAACGACCTATAGGGTTAAACGTTCTTTAGGTAAAACCACCAACTGTCAATCAAACGACCCAAAGTCTAACGACAAACGTGTCAAAGAGGGAATAGATAATGATATATTTTAGTGTAAGCTGTCCAAGAGAAGTGGGCCAACTTATTAAATCAATTTATTAAATTTGGTTCCTGTGAGGCTGTGGCCCGCTCAAATATGTCACATTCACAAAAACATTAAAAAAAGAGCAATTTTCTGTTATGGTTCCTAACCTGACATAATGCCGTTTTTGTGGTCTATCTTCACCAACACCACATGTACACATGTACCCGGCTATCATCAGGTCCAACACCTGTACAGTGTACATTCAATAAATATTCATATACTTACACATATACACATGTACCCGGCTATCCTCAGGTCTAACACCTATTAATTTAATACATTCATATACACAACATGTACACATGTACCCAGCTATCATCAGATTCAACGCCTATCCATTTAATACATTCATATACACCACATGTACGCATGTACCCAGTTATTATCAGGTCCAACACCTATTTATTTAATACATGAAATGATGAAATATCTGCTAAATATGTTCACTCTAATAGTGCAATTACAGAAACCAATACAAATATTGCCCCAAAAAAACTATTTGATTCTTTATATTTTGGAAATCCAGCATTGAACACATAAATACCTGACAAACCTTGCATAGTTCAGTTTTCATAATGCACAAAGAAAACTGGATGCAGTAACAGTTGGACGCATACATTATTACAAAGAGAAACATATATATATATATATATATATAGACCAGCTCATTGTTAAAAAAAATTGACCGCTAACTTTAATATTAGAGGTTTGCAAAGAATTGTCAAAAAATGGTAGGCAAAATCAAAATAATTTTTTTTTTTTTGACAAATAGTAAGATGTGACACAAGATGTCTCCGTTTTTAAAAAGCGTTTGCAAAAATTAAGTTTTTAGATCTGTAGCTTCAGTAACAAAAAGTTCTGGGCTTTTTAGATTTATGCATTATTAAAGAAAATATATTGTTTGTCAAAAATCCTGTAAATTATTATTTTTCCTTAAAAGTAAAAAAATGTCAAGGTGATAGTGTCAAAATATGAGAGTGCTCAATGCTCATGCAAAAACAGAAAGAGGAGGTGTCAAAAGCTACCCCCCCCCCCCCCGCCTGTTTACGGTTAAAAGTACTATGCTGGCTTCCGATCAATTAAAGCAATTGTAAGTGTGTGTAACATTATACTAGACTGTGAGAAGGAAAAAAGAAAATAAACATGCTTTTCCTCTATCGTGGTTCATTGGTTTTTTTTTACTTTTGACAAATTTTAACATGTCAACCATGAATTTTTGCATCATTTTTTCAAGGGCTTTTTGAATAAAATAATTAATTAAAAAGTTAGAGACTATTTATAATTTTTTTTAAACTGCACCGACTAGTCGTTTGACCGTCCTCCACCCATGCATATACAAAAATCATAATTTGTTTACATTTATAAAGTTGTAAAAGTGAAGTAATTTGAGCGTTCTATGTAGTGTAAGCCGTTTTTAATTACGGAGAAAAACAGCAGGGCCCCCATCGTGATACTGTGAGGAGCATTTAAGACTCAAAAGAAAATATACATTTGAAAAAGACCATGGGTACAGGGTTACTCGCTAGGGATGAGACTTCAGAGACGACTGTATGGAATTTTTACTCACTGTTTATATAGATGTTTTCACATTGTTAAATAGGACCTAAAGTGACATATATCATCATATTTAAAGATTTGCAGGTCGTCGATCCTTAAGTCTTATCCTGTATGGGTACCCCTGTATAGGTATGAAATCTGTAAGAAAAAATGTTACCATGATAATGATTATAGTTATCGCCACTCCTCCAACGACGTTCATATGCGAACTAGAACAATATAAATACTTTAAAGGCCATTTTTAAGAATTTATTAAATGTATACAAATGTTATTTCTATACATCTAATAAATCATTGTTGTACTTGTTACCTTATTTCATCCTTTAGTATAGTAAAGCAACCAGCCATATAGGCGCCATTAGCTCCGCTAGGCGCCACTTGACAACGAGCCTGAATTGGTAATTTCTGTCTTTTTGTATATTCAGATCATAACTAAGGAACCCCTGAATGGTTCATTTCGTGTTTGATAATTTGACAATGAATATATGTTTCCATTGATTTATTAAGATTGCACAAGGCTCTCACACAAAAATCAATCAGCCAATTATGCTCCTTCTTATCTAACGCTTGATAGAGTGTACATGTCTAGGGCTGCATAAAAGTTTCTATGAAGTAAGAGGTATAATAAAAGGGAAAAGCGTTGCGACAATTTAAAGTCGACCCAGTCTAGAAAAGAAATTGAGTCTTTTCCACAAACTGTGATTCTCTAATCCAATGTCTTAGACCTTGGATATTCCGATCTATATGAAGTATTCTTAGACCTTGGATATTACGATCTATGAAGTATTTAAATGAAATAATCTAGGTTTGATATATCTAAGGTTTACACCATCAGGTTGAAAAAGGGATTAGCGAATTAGGATTAGTGGCAAAGACTCAATTCCTTTATGCAACTTTTCCTATCTGTCTAGATCACCTTATTATTTGAAGTCGCACAGCAAGATTCAGGGACTTTAACGCCGAGAAGTAGAGCTCCGTTATCCTCTGTATATCCAGTTCCATCAAATCTATATTTATTCTAATACTGAAGCTTTATATATATATATATATATATAGTATTTTCAACTTTTTTCAGTTTAAATATACATTTTAGATGTTTAAATATATATATTTCTTCCAAGACAAAATGTTTCATGGGTCTAACCCAATCATCAGTTGGAATAAAATATGTATATATATATATGTATATATGTATATATTTTTTAAACCACAATATTTAGTGAAATATCTGTTGTAAATCAGAAAACTTTATATAATATCTGTTGTGAACCAGAATATTTAATGAATTATCTGGAATAAGCCAGAGTATTTAATATGATAATTGGTGTAAATCAGAATATTTAGTTAAATATCTGGTGTAAACCAGAATACTTCATATAATATCTGTTGTGAACCAAAATATTTCATGAATATCTGGTGTTAACCATAATAGTTAATGAAATATCTAGTGTAAACCAGAATATTTCATGAATATCTGGTTTAAACCACAATATTTAATGAAATATCTAGTGTAAACCAGAATATTTAAAAAAAAACATCTGGTTTAAACCAGAATATTTAATGAATTATCTGGTATAAGGCAGAATATTTAATATGATATCTGGTGTAAACCAGAATATTTAATATGATATCTGGTGTAAACCACAATATTTAATATGATATCTGGTGTAAACCAGAATATTTAATGAATTATCTGGTATAAGCCTGCATATTTAATATGATATCTGGTGTAAACTAGAATATTTAAAAATTATCTAGTCTAACCAGAATATTTAATATGATATCTGGTGTAAACCAGAATATTTAAAAATAATCTAGTCCAACCAGAATATTTAATATGATATCTGGTGTAAACCAGAATATTTAAAAATAATCTTGTCTAACCAGAATATTTAATACAATTATATTATTATTGAACCTCGGATTCGTCTGGCTCCAATCTCTAGCACTCTCAACTCCGCAGCAGTGCAGCTAGAGAAAAGAAATTATTAAAAATGATACAGGATGACGTCATCTGTAAAAAATTGAGTCTTTGTTACAAAAAATCCTTTTTTGCAACCCATTGTCGTAGACCTTAGATATTTCAAACTATGGATTCTGTTAGGTCAAAAAAAAAGTTTGAAATATCAAAGGTTTACACCAACAGGTTGCAAAGAGATAAAAGGGAGTAGAAAATTTCAGTCTGTGTCAAAAATTCTCTTTTTTAACCAACCACTTTTTAGCTTTGTTATGCCGTAGAACAAACAAAAAACGAAACAATGATTTTTAGGACGATAGTTTTTAAAATTCAAAACCAAAGATGAACAAGTCAAACTTGAACTACCCTAGTCTATTCTAAAATATAATACAACTTCCATAGCAAACTTGATCTACCCTAGTCTATTCTAAAATATAATACAACATACCAAACTTGATCAACCCTAGACTATTCTAAAATATAATACAACTTCCATACCAAACTTGATCTACCCTAGACTATTCTAAAATATAATACAACATACCAAACTTGATCTACCCTAGTCTATTCTAAAATATAATACAACATACCAAACTTGATCTACCCTAGTCTATTCTAAAATATAATAAACTTCCATACCAAACTTGATCTACCCTTATAGTCTATTCTAAAATATAATACAACATACCAAACTTGATCTACCCTAGTCTATTCTAAAATATAATACAACTTCCATTGCAAACTTGATCTATCCTAGTCTATTCTAAAATATAATACAACTTTCATACCAAACTTGATCTACCCTAGTCTATTCTAAAATATAATACAACTTTAGGTTGGAAAACTGTAGGCTAGAAAACACTAAGGTCAGTTTTCTCTAGGTCGAATAAGCTGTTGCATTTTTTTACTCAAATCTTTAAAAAATCCAATTTACTTTTTTAAAAGTTTACAAAAAATATTGTCTTTTTCAGTAAAACCAACAAGTTGTCGTGTCGTTTTTCGTTTTGAAAATTTCCAAACTATTTTTTTCTCATGACTGTTATGTGTGAGTTACTCACATAACTCTGATTAAGTAAATTTTTAGGGCTCAATTTAAAGATTTAGAAATCATAACTGTTTGAAAAACCAAAACCTAGGTTATTTTGACATGCTGGTTAGGACATGTAGAATGTAGATGAATATCCAACATAGAATGCTCGAGTACTAGAAAACTGTGGAATACGACGGCATTAAATAATTATTCAAATTGTATTTGATGTTGTTTCAAAGCAAATATGGGAAGATATGTGCACACTGCACAATCGGTGTGTCTAGTGTTCATAATAAAATCATAAGGCTCATATTCGTCTTGCTATGGCACAGCTTTCTGATTCTCACTGTACCATCAACATAAATCGTCTGAAGGAGACTAAATGTCTGCTTCTATAGTGCTTCCAATCTCATTAGTCACAAGACTATTTAGTTAAGAATTTGCCAATTTCTTTTTAAAAACTAAAGCTGAACAAAGCTGATTTAAAGTTCTAAAGTGTACATGGTTAGGACTGTACTACAAAATAGGTTAAGTCATTTCCTCAAAGGCCATGGTGTCGACCTAGGCCATGGTGTCGACCTAGGTCATGGTGTCGACCTAGGCTTGAAAACTGATGCAACTCTTGGTAGAAGTCTGGATCTATGTGTGCTTGGTTGTTACCAGGGAATAGGAATAAAGGGAAGAAATGGCGCTGGTCTGGCATGAGAAAGCCAGGCGCACTGCTTTGCAGACAAGTTCGGTAAACCATACAAACACTCTTTTGGTACAGACACACAAAATAATTACAGTCAAGGAAATTGCAGAACAATGTTGTCAATTATAATTAAGTTTGAATAACGATTAGTTTATTGTCAACTTTAATCAAATTATATTTTTTGCATGAAAATTTGGCTTTATATAAATAAATATAAAAATATACTGCATGTTTATATTAAAATTATTTTTAAGTAAACAATTAACAATAAACAATTTTTCTCTCTTAGACCGTACAAATACTGAGATTCGTATGTACTGTATATACCTACAGTACAATCCTTCGGTTCGGTAAACTTTACACACACTCTTTTGGTACAGACACACCCCCATGACGTTTCCGCCCCCTGGTTGTTACCTCTGTTTGCATAGCATCCCATAGTCCTGTAATTTCCTTGATATCTGCTCTTGAGCTAGTTGGATCATACTTATACAAGGTATCTAATGAAAAACATGTTTAAGAGACTGTATAACAGTATTCCCGAAACATAATGGTAAACATTAAACCTTGGTCTCATCAAAGATGATGGAGAGATATAATTTTTCATCTAAAAATCAATAAATTTCAATTGCGGGATCTCTTCATAAGTGAATTGCGGAATTATGCAGCAGACACAAACAAGGAAATTTTCTTTATATTAACTTAAACTGCACACATTAAAGTGTTAAAATGTCGTCTTCATATGCCAAAGTTACATGGGTACCACTGTATACATAATTTGTTTGGTAAAAGAACTCTGATTGCTCACAAATTTTTAAATTGTTTTTATCCATTTTTCAACGTCAACATCAGCCTTCCCTGTTCCAATCCAACCCCACAAAAATTATTATGTTTTGTTTTAATTTAATTAGATTGCAAAGTTACTCTAGTATGCCGAGTCCATTTGCACCTGATCCAATCAGGGTTCATCGTGTTTGGTGTTTATTCTAAACCAATAAAAATTGCATAGCGTTAACAACATCTATATTTCTATCTATCTCATTATCCAATTAGAGATAAATCCTTATATCGGCGCTATAACAGTAAATGGAAATATTTACTTCTACTGAAACTATAGTGAAGTATATGGACTGAAGTCTCCCCTAGAACATTTCCCCAAAATTAAAGTTTACCTTTGAGTGGGTTACTGAAATTATCAATTCCCTGAGAAATTCCGATTACAGTTCCAATGGTGATAAGAATTAGCAGGCTCAGAATCATTAGGAAGTACTAAAATACAGGCGTTTTCGTATATATCAATACAATGAAGACGATTTTTTTTTCTAGCAAGCTGTCGAATAGCAGAGACACATTTAAACATGTAATGTAATAAAAGAGATGTTGTCAACAGCTTAGCTTTGTTTATTTCTTTGTTAGGGATTAAAGCGTTATTTACATAAAGTCGTCTTCATAGTATTGGTATAATCGCCTAACATTATTATATTTTTTCTTTTTGATTAGTTTTGAAATAAATGCTATGATTTGTGTTTAACTATATTTTGTACTTTATCAGATTTTTGTGTTATTTGCTTTATTTTATGTGTTCATCAAATTGTACCTTTAAAATTTTAGAAAATTTGTTTAAAAGTTATAAAATAAATGCTGTGATATGCTTTATTTCTTTTTTAAAAAAATACATGATAATTTTTTAACTATATTTTAAATTTATCGAATTTTATCTCTAAAATCTTAGAAAATTACAGTTTCAAATTCAACGTTATGCAAGGCTTTGATCAATTTTCAACCTTTAATGGAGACGGCGCCAGGGGTGTTTATTTTGAAAAATGTTTAAAGATCAGGGGGAAGAAAAATTAGACATGAAAAGGCAAGTTTTTTCTAACTCTTCATCCTTAAAATGTTATTTTTTCTCCTAAAATACATTTTTTTTCAGTTCAGAGAAAAAAAACGTTTTAAAAATAAAAAATAACTTTTTTTAGGGGAAAAATAATTTTCAAAAGAGGAGGGGGTTAAAGATTTTTTTAGGAAAATGTACATCCCTGGACGGCGCTTTTATAACAGTTCAAGTTGCCAAAGTTTTTGAATTATAATAATTACTAGACTTTTCATATTGCGTTGTATATTTCTTGTATAAGCCTGAACCAGGTTTGAACCCCTGTAACTGGAATAAGCCTTGACGTAAGTGCTTCCAGTGTATTACTTCTCTTCTTTTCAAATAAATAAAAAAATATAAACATTTGATATGTTAAATTTAAACTATTTAGGACCAAAGGAATTGAGTCCTTGTCACAAACTCTGATTTTCTAATCCTTATATCTTTGGAACCCACTGGCGTAAACCTTTGATGTTTAAAACTTATATTATTCGATCTAACAGAAGTCATAGTTTGAAATGTCAAAGGTCTACGACATTAGGTTCCAAAGATAAAGGGATTAGAAAATCAGAGTTTGTGACAAAGACTCAATTCCTTTAATAAATAAATTGATTTTTGCCTCAAACACGAATTTAAGAATCAAGTGTACGCGCCTGAAGGTCTTCTATATCAGGGACCAACTTTATTGAATAGTAAGACTGAGTGGTTGGTGGAAATATTAGAGAAATAAAATCTTAGAATCATGAAATTTTGTAAATTCCCTGAAAGACGGTGATCCGCAAAAGAATATTGTAAAATAGAAAGATTTATTGTACCAAACATTGCTTATGATTAGAACGATATTGTAGAATTTATACTGTGCAGTGTACGTCAAAAGATGTACGGACACGCAGCGCCCTGAATTACTAGTATTACAATTATGTACTTACTGAACCCAGCATGCATCTGCTCTCCTTGTAAGCCCCACAGCAGCCGAAGAAAGAGATCAATATCGCTGAAATAAGGATAGTTTTAGAATAAAGGTTAATAAGTTTTTTTTAGGAGGGGGGAAGGGATAATTGTAAAAACTGTTAAACTATTAGAAAAAAATTTGTCTATACTTTTTTTCAGAATTTTCGATAATATAATCTATGGAGCTGTCACCTTTATAACGTTGAAAAAAAGCAAATGGGAACTTTCCTTAATTCGGATCTACCCCCCCCCCCCAGAAAAAAATAGCTACAATGATAACCAGATAACTATAAAATAGGAAGACGACTTTATAGAAATATTTTAGTGTTTTTGATACTGTTAGAAAGAAAATAGTTTTACTAGACACTTTCTAAATCACTAATTAATCGAAATGGGTCTTTTTACGCTGCACTTAATTGATGTTTCCCATGCTTAATGGATTATTTCAGGTCATAACTTGAGTCTTAAAGTCGTCTTTCAATTCAAAGTTTGCTGTTTATCACTGTACTATGATTATAATAACCCAATCTTAAAATGGTAAAATCTTGAAATCAACTGAATTACCTTCAATTCAATCAATTTAGAATCTAAACTAAATAATAAAATTGGAAGAAAGAGTTTCTCGGGAATTTGCTATTTATAAGAAGTGTTTTGATTTCAAATTTGATTTGATTGTATTTCTTTATGAATTACTAAAAGGAACAATTTCATCAAAAAGAAATATTATAAAAGCGGAGTTACAAAAGGGAGAAAGAAAACCTGAAAAAGTAGTTAAACATCGAGTTGAATGCTATAGATTTAATCCTTTGCATCTTAATTTATCAAGCTAATGATTTGAGTCTTTGCAACAAACTTTAATTTTCTAATCCCTATATCTTTACAACCTGAGGTGTTAACCTTAGATTATTTTATCTAAGAAAATAAACAGTTTGAAATATAAAATGTTATACGACATATACGACATATACGACATTTACGAAATATACAACATATACGACATTTACGACATATACAACATATAATTATACAACATACGACATATACGACATATACGACATATACGACATATACGACATATACGACATATACGACATAAACGACATATACGACATTTACGACATATACGACAAATACGACATATACGACATATACGACATTTACGACATATACGACATATACGACATATACGACATAGAGCTGCAAAGGTAGAAAATGTAAGCATGTGACAAAGACTCAATTTACTTCGCTTGACAAATTAAAGATACAATGGATTAAAACAAAAGCATAAAAAAACCAGTACATAATTATTTGTATGATTTTTTAGATGTTTTCAAATATACCTGCAGATGCTACAAACAAAAGTAGAATCACTGCACTATCATAAATAGGTATGGAGGATTCAACCTAAAAAAGTAAATATTGTATTTCTTTCTTTGCTTAGATACAGGATAATTCGCAAAAGATGAAACTTTAATTTGACGACTTGAAAGTGAAATTCTGTGAATGAGAAGGTTTAAAGTTTAATTTCAAAGGACACAAGGTATAAAACTGGATTATGGCCCTGGCCCATTTCTAACACCGAGTATTGTTGAGAGATTGTATCGAGAGTAAAAGTATAAAGTTGTTTGTCTCCAATGACACTGTTAGATAGGATAGTCACCTGATTAAGTTATTAACAAGAACACTGTATAAAGGATGATCACCTAATTAAGGTTACTAACAAGAACACTGTATAAAGGATAGTCACCTGATCAAGGTTATTAACAAGAACACTGTATAAAGGAAAGTCACCTGAGCCTGCGATTTAAAAACTTTGGTTCGAGCAGTAATTCCTAAAACCCGACTTTAAGACCCAATCTTCAACTCAATTTTGAAGAAAGCTTTGTTAACCATTAACTTTAAGACCTCCGGGTAATGTCGTCTTCAACTTAAAATCTCCTCTCGGAGAAAGCCAAACCAAATTTTCAGCCCGCATTCTCTTTGTACTCCGTCCCACGGGGCTTAAAACATTTTTGTTTATTGTGAAATCGTCAAAGTTAAGCAAGAATATTTTTATATGAAGCATTAGTGAATTTCGTTAAATATTCAACTGTAATTTTTTCAGAAGTTTTAAAAAAACACGTATTTCAATACTGATCAACAATAAGTCTTCCCCTATCATACCTAAATAAATCGTAAGATTTTTTTTCTATTATTAATGTTCATTATAACATTGTACAAGTAACCATGACCTATGATTTATGTTATTTTTTAGGAAATAAAGCTTTTGTTATCGATTTTCTTGAGACGGGGTTACTCTGTTGTATGTATTTGCGGCCAAACGGAAAGGAATTATCCGGACAGAATATATTTCCCTCACCGGAGTTCCGACGGGCCTTTTAATCCAAGTTTATCTGGTGTGTTGCTGTTATCTGTCAACAAGCTTGTATCACATGATTGACAGCTCCAAGATCTTCGGCTCGACTTAAGGAGTTAGGCCCAATGAAAATAAAACCGACCATGGTTGGTTTTAGTGGAGAATAAGGCTCAATGTTGAGTTTTGTTCTCATCAAAACCCGAAATGCGCAATTCCTGCCATGAAAATCCGCCAAATAGAATATTAAACCGGGTTTTTAAACTCAACTCTGTAGAAAATAAGTTGAAGCTTGAATCCGAAAGCCAAGCCGTAAATAAGGCCCAACGATTGCTTGTATTTTTCCGAATTGTTTAAATCGCGGGCTCTGATCAAGGATATTAACAAGGAAAGGTTTGCCTCCAATAACTCCGTATAGGATAGTCATCTGATCAAAGATATTAACAGGGAAAAGTTAGTCTCCATGAACATTATATAAGGATAGTCACCTGATCAAGGATATTAATAAGGGATGGCTTGTCTCCAATAAAACTAAATAAGGATAGTCACCTGATCAAGGATATTAACAAGGGATGGCTTGTCTCCAATAATACTCTATGAGGATAGTCACCTGATCAAGGGTATTAACTAAAAAAGGTTTGTCTCCAATAAAACTAAATAAGGATAGTCACCTGATAAAGGATATTAACAAGGGATGGCTTGTCTCCAATAAGTATAAAGGATAGTCACCTTATCAAGGATATTAACAAGGGATGGCCTTTCTCCAATGAGTATAAAGGATAGTCACCTGATCAAGGATATTAACAAGGGATGGCCTTTCTCCAATGAGTATAAAGGATAGTTACCTGATCAAGGATATTAACAAGGAATGGCCTTTCTCCAATGAGTATAAAGGATAGTCACCTGATCAAGAATATTAACAAGGGATGGCCTTTCTCCAATGAATATAAAGAATAGTCACCTGATCAAGGATATTAACAAGGGATGGCCTTTCTCCAATTAGTTTAAATGGTAGTCACCTGATCAAGGATATTAACAAGGGATGGCCTTTCTCCAATGAGTAAAAAGGATAGTTACCTGATCAAGGATATTAACAAGGGATGGCCTTTCTCCAATGAGTATAAAGGATAGTCACCTAATATAGGATATTAACAAGGGATGGCCTTTCTCCAATGAATATAAAGGATAGTCACCTGATCAAGGATATAAACAAGGGATGGCCTTTATCCAATGAGTATAAAGGATAGTTACCTGATCAAGGATATTAACAAGGGATGGCCTTTCTCCAATGAGTATAAAGGATAGTCACCTGATCAAGGATATTAACAAGGGATGGCTTGTCCACAAGTATCCATATTCCCAGAGCTAGAACAGTGCAGGAAAACAACTAGAAATAAATTAAGTTAATAGCGATATCATAATTATTATAGAAATGTATTCACATACAAAGATATATATTCATACATATATGTAAATGGTGTAGTTTAAATTTGTTTAGATATTTCGAATATATAGTTCTAAAAAAGAAAAAATTGGCAAAATTACTCAAAAATAGGAGACATTGATCAAAAATCATTACATAACATATTTATCATTTCAGTTATTACGTAATCATCGAATCCTTCAACATATTAATTATTCATTCTGGTATTTTTCATGATTTTTATAGTTCTTGTAAAATCGGAACTTTTTATGTATGCTCCAATGGGACATATATATATATATTTCTCTGTTTTGGAGTTAAAACTAATTACACATTTCTTTCTAAATATACAGGGTGAGTCGAAAAAAAAACATGGAATAATATTTTTGTTGGTTCGGATTTTTTTGGTATTAAACATTGCAAATAGCAAACAAAATTCAAAAATATTTTTACACTAATCCCTAATCCCGTTTTTATTCACCCTGTATTGGGAATTGTAGAAGTAATCGTAAGAATCCCTTGAATTAAAATGTACTAAAATCACACAAGATAGTGCATTAGATCCGGGGTATCTTAAAATTCCGTTTACAGTTATTTTTCTTCGATTCTTACGAAAAGCAGGAAGTTTGTGATAAAGAGAAATGTTTTAACAATATTATCACAGAAACCCATCCTCTTGTCCCTTCAGCTCGCCTACTTTATAAATACAGCTTAAATACTAAATTATTGACGATAAACCCTAAATATATTTTGTTACTCATACTAAATTGTCTTGCCAAGAAATTTCTTATCTTATTAACAAAATTCATTGGGATGTCAAATTTTCAAAGATTTTAAGAGAGGTCGCTGAACACCTATATCACGAATACTTAACCAATTCAAATCCTCATGAATCTTTAACTTTGAATTGGCTATTTCAGATTTGATCCGACAGTATGTTGTTCAGCGACTTGGCTCAAGTTCATTAAATTCGGTCACTAGGCTTTATTGAACTTATCGGGGGTAGAGGAAAACAAGGGCAAGGTTAAAATTGAGCCAGAGGGTTTACAGGTTTAAAGGAATTGAGTCTTTTTTTCTACAACCTGATGGTGAAAATATTTGTCATTTCAAACTAGATTATTTTATCAACGGAGTTCTTTAATTAGTTTGAAATATCTAAGGTCTACGACATTCCCATTTAAAAATCAGAGTTTGTGGCAAAAACTCAATTCCTTTGGGAAAGATAACAGTGAAAAATTTGGATAAAAACTATCTTATAGTGCTGTATTTCTATCCTGAGATGTTTGATTGTAGACTGAATTTTTCAGCTAATATTCACTGAATCACTTGATGATAATTATCATAAATTAATCACTTATTTTCTAGAGGATATGTGAATATGTGTAGATTTTAACAATGAGTAAATACTTGTTCCTAAACCTTATCTTTCTCAACCTTTCTTATCTTTAACGTTCGGGCATACTGCATGAGTAATCAGCAAATATAAAACTGTAAACAATAATGGTAATATTTGAAATAAATACTATTCATGTCTAGCTTAGGAATCTAGCGTTCCCCAGATACTCATAGTTACTCCCTCCGTTTACCCGCACGTGGTCAATTTTACCTGAAAACTAAATGTTTTCTATGAAAGTCTGTTCACTCAACTTAGACTCTGCAAACCAAACTAATAACATGCACCATTGGAATGTTACAATATTAATTAAATAATAATATAAACATTTTCAAGAAATTGCAAAATATTTTATATTTTGAACTCTGTGTACTTAGTCTAGCAAAATTCGAATTCGTCTAGTTTAAAATATCAAAGGTTAGACATTATATTTAACCCTTTAAAGGCTGGGGATTCGAGGGCCTCCGGATAAGGCCTTAGAGGAAAATTATGAAGTTGCAATACATGATCAGAGCCCAACTTTTCAAGGTCAGACCATTCACAAAAACTGTTATACTGCTATTTTCAATGGTTCGGGTGCTATAGGGAAATTGAAAAATGGCATAAAAAGGTTAGACAAATGTAAGAAATAGAATTGTTTGTGTTTGACAAAGATTTTTCAAATATGTTTAATTGGATCTGTGGTTTGAAGAATAAAAAAGTTCTGGGCTATTTAAAGAAAATTAAACACCATCAGGCATTTGGACCTTTTATGTTAGTTAGTCGATAATTATTACGATAAAGATACGTGGTTACCCTCAAAGATGAGACTGTAAAGACGACCCAAAACTAAAAAATTATGATGAATTGAAGCTTAATTTCTGGTTTCTGTATTCAATCAAGTATTTGGATGGTTTATTAAATGAGTAAGCACAGAAATATGCCATGTTTTGTCCTAAAAGGAACCCTGAATGCAAGAAAAGGGAGGGACTAAAGAATTTTCGTACTATTGTCTCAGAAGTCTCATATTCTCTGGTTGATCCTGTACACAATAAGATGGTGTTTTCACTTGACCTAGTCTGTTTTTTTTATAGAGCAATATTATAAATTTTTTGTTTAATTAATTTGGAATTATCAAAAACTAAGAACTTGTTTGGAGGCACGTTTTAGACACGCTTAACCAAAAAAGTGCTTGTTTCCCTGTGTAACGTGCTTGTTTCCCTGTGTAACGTGCTTATTTCCTGTGTATAGATCAGATTTCAAGTGTTTTTGTATCCTTCCTGTTTTAATTAATTGTTTTAAACGTATTTCAAAGCTAGGTAGGAATCATTGACTCCAAATTTTCAAGACATTCTTTTTAAAAACGTTAAGATCGCAAACTTTAATAGAGAAGAGACGTGGTAAATATTTAAACCATGAAACTAAATTAAGAAATGAGAGGTGGGTAAAAAAAAAGTTATATGTACATCGGAATAAATGTTTAAAAGAATTATATTATTGAAAATATTTAGCGTGCAATTGTTGCAGCACATATCTAATAATTTAATAATTTTCTAGCGATCAATAATTTCTTTGCACTTAAGATTTAGTAAATCATTAAAATACTCAATTTAATGCAGAGACAGAAAATCAAGTTTTGAGTCGTCTTTTCAGTCTCATCCTTTTTGGGTAAATCCTGTATATATAATGTAGATCAGTATAAAATTTTACTTTAGTGTCATAGAATTTTTTGTAAAGACTTCTTCCTTTTAAATTCCGCTAGAAGGAGATTATTCATTTCTCGTACCGTACCGTCTCGTACCGTACGGTCTTGTACCGTACCGTCTTGTACCGTACCGTCTCGTACCGTACCGTCTCGTACCGTACCGTACCGTTTCGTACCGTCTCTAACCGTCTCGTATTGTCTTGTACCGTCTCCTACCGTCTTGTACCGTCTTGTAATGTCCCGTACCGTACCGTCTTGTTATGCTTTACAATGTCTGTATTTGTACAGCTTGCTCTAGTCGATGAAAAGTCTACCCTGTATTTGAAAATATGTACACGTGTTCCTATTTATGAAAAAAAGAACGTTTTTCTAAATTTGTTCAATAATTAACTATAGCTAAGTTTGTTAAAGTTCGTTTCCATTGATCAGACTAAATAAATTAAGAGATTCATTTAATGTTTATATGAATAAGCTTCATCATCTAAAGAAAAAATTTATATATAAATTAAAACATTTGAGGATTAATTGTACAGTAACGTATAAAGATTTGATTTTGGGCCATTTATAAGCGATTCTGTAAAATGTTTTGCAAACAAGGTCTACACCTTTGATATATTCTAAACTTGGATCATTTGATCTATTAGAATATATTGTTCAAAATATATCTAATTTTACAACTGAGAGTTGCAAAGATATAGGGCTTAGAAAATTAGAGTTTGAGGCAAAGACTCAATTAACTCCTTCGGACTTTTTCACCAACTTCAAATTCTGAGCTAACCATTGATCAATCTATGAAAAATAAAGCTCTTTGCTCAAAGCTATAGCTAGCCAACCTGCTGGACCAAGTCGGCTGCACGTACCCTAGAGGTATCAGAGGCAAAACAACTTTAAAATTATTCTTCAAAAATCAATTTTTTTTCAACATTTTTATTTTCAAGAATTTGATTATTTTTAAATTCCACGGGCAACGCCGGGCACTTCAGCTAGTATTTAATGTTTGTTAATGAAGTTGCAAATCAAAGACCTAAAGTACTCAGGTTCAATCCTCCATGCGTGCCAAATCTCCACGTGAAGGCAGAAAATAAACATTTTTAAATTACTCAACCTGCTGCGTGCTGAAAACTAATTCCAACTTGATCACGAAGTTGAGAATATAATTATAGATAAATATTTATTTTTTACTTTTTATAAATTCAATCTCCACTGGGTTTCTTCATTTGCCGTTTTCCTCAATTTCTTTATTCCTTTTACTGCAATATTAACTATCCAAATAGTCTTTAATGAGTTTTTAATTAAGTCAAATATTATGTTATTTATTGAATAAGATTACTTGCGCCAAAATATGTATTTAACTTCACTGTTGACAAACTTGACAATCTTTTAAAAGACAAAAACTAACGAAGCTAAAAGTTTTGAACTTTTGAAGATCGAAAGACGAATTGCTGAAAAATTATCTTCTGTTTACTCCATATATCTATGTAATTGTAAGGCACCTTTTGATAAAAAAAACATCCCCAGTTTTTTTTATTATTCAAGTGCAGAAATTAAACCTAAAAGTGAGTAGATGCACTATGGTTTTACAAATATTGGGGATTTATTAAATTATGTAAGCAGGTTACAACATAACCTGTCTAATTAAAAAAGTTATTTTGAATAGTTGATGCTTTTTGTAATGATTGTATTTTGCCTTAATAACAACAGTATTTAAATAATAAAAATAGCTCAAAGGAAACTGTGTTTTAGATTATGAGGGAAACCAATGTAATAGTGAAATTTTTGAACGAGATGAAATAATCTTTATGTATTTTTTAACTAGAGCATAATTTCCATTCTTTAATGCTCGGAGCGTGTAAGAATATAAATTATTTCACGCTCTGACGGAGAAATAACTTCCATTCATACACGGTCTGAGCGTTAAAAAATGAAAAATTTATCCCAACAGTAGAGTAAGCATTCTTTAGCGCTTGGAAGCAAACAATATTGAAACTTGTACTCCTGAATCGTGTACTAATTGGAATTCTTCTTACTGCACGATAGGTTTACTACTATGGAACATTTCTTAACATTACTGCAAGCTAATTGGGGGATTTTCAAACTTCTCTCCGGATCTTAAATGCTTATCAAAATAATCTTTGGTTCAGTAAAACCAGGAGTTTAAGCATTAATCTTGATATCCTCCATTTTAAAGTTTTCAGCTCTGATATGATATAATAATCAAAATGTATGTTTCTAAATATGGTATGACCGTATGTTTATTTGCACCACTCTGTATAATTTTAAAACTTTGAATCGTTAAAGGCCAGAACAGTATTATTTTTTTATTCAGTCCAGCTACCTCTTTTTTGCATACTTTATAGTATGTTAAGGCCCCTTCTTCATAGCATATTGAATATTGGTAGAATGTTGGTAGATATATTTGATTTTCTTTGGATATCTCATTTTATAATTGACAGGGTTTGCCAAAAAACAGGTGCAATACAAGACTTTGAGCATGAGTATAGTTTAGCTATTCAGAGGTGGTTTTCAGAAATTGAGTTTCTTGGTCCCAGTCTAATGTTTTTCGTTTTCTAAAAATGTGGTATGATGATAGTACTGCAAGGCTTGATAGATTTTCACACATTGCTTTGAAACTAAAACTGGGTTTGCAGAGCTTATGCAGTTTCTTTAGAATCGCCTTATTTGATGGTGAGATATATCCTCTTCAGCCGATTTCAAAAGGATGAACAGACACACATCCCTAGTTGTTATATCTGTGATAAAATATTCATCTTTTGAGCGTTGGCATTTTTGATATTTGTTTCCATGCTATCGATTTTATCTGGTTTCTGTGCGGTCACAAGTAAGTGGGGGGGGAAGGACCCGGGACAGTACCTCCCCCTGGAACGATATTGGATGGGATGTCGGCATACATCAAAAAACAGTTAATATCAATTAATCTGGTGATATATTTAATATGATTGTTGTGCCTCCAAGTATATCTTTTTTCAAAATATGGTTTGTTGTTTCTTGTCTTCAACCCTTGCGTCTGCCTGTAAACATAGTTTACAGAGATCTGATGCAGATTTTCCCCATTGTAGAAGGATAGTTTGTGTTGGCAGGGTGTCCAAACAGGAGTTGAGTGAAAATTTCAGTGTACCTTTCTTCAGATTGAACATGTAAGATTTCCAGATCATGTCAGATTTTTCAAGCATTGCCAGGCAGAGAAAATGTCCTTGTTTATGAGTGTTTCTGTATGTTCTCTCCAGAAAGTTTCATTTTCAAAAGATACTTTTTCATTGACTGTTGTTTTCATTGTTATAGCATTGATTTTTGGAAGCTTGGCATTTCTGCTTGACCATCTTGTTCTCTAATGTGGCTTGTTGAAACATTTCTTCTGCATAGTCTGTGATGGAATTTTTGCGGAGCCAATTTTTTGCCCTGTCTTATTTAGATTGTAAGGCAGAGTTAACTGTTTCATCACCCAGTATTCTTATTCTAGTGTATTTTTGCATCATATACAAAAAAGACACCCACCCAAGTATATATATATATACTAGGATTTTAGGGCGCTTCGCGCCCATCTTCTATTTAAATTGTGAACATGTTCTTTTTGTTTACATTTCAAAACAAAGAAAAAAATTTCGCGGATTTAAAAAAAATTCGCGGATTTTCAAGAATTTAAATTTTTTTCACAAAATTAAAAACCTTTAAAACACATTTTTTTGAAATTTTTATCATTCGTAAACCTTCCCTGTGGTCATGTGATGTCCCACAAAAAAATTGGGCCCGAACGGTTCAGCCGTTTTGACGTTTATTGGATACAAACACACAGACAAACTGTCAAAATTAATATATATATACTAGGATTTTAGGGCGCTTCGCGCCCATCTTCTATTTAAATTGTGAACATGTTCTTTTTGTTTACATTTTAAAACAAAGAAAAAAAAAATTTCGCGGATTTAAAAAAAAATTCGCGGATTTTCAAGAATTTAAATTTTTTTCACAAAATTAAAAACCTTTAAAACACATTTTTTTGAAATTTTTATCATTCGTAAACCTTCCCTGTGGTCATGTGATGTCCCACAAAAAAATTGGGCCCGAACGGTTCAGCCGTTTTGACGTTTATTGGATACAAACACACAGACAAACAGAGAGACAAGCCAAATTTATATATGGATATATAGAAGGTCACATGAATATAAATAAACTGATCTCAGTGCTGAATTTATATTTGCTTTTTATGTTTACTTGCGTATAAAAGTATTGATTTTTATTGTTAATTAAAAACACAGATAAACTTTATGTTCTTCTCCTTCACTCTTCAACCAGTAATCTTGTCCTGATGATTATTTTAATAAGGAAAAAGAAAACTCTATGTTGAATTGCTGATGTTCATTTGTTATTGAAAAAAAAGATTATTGAAAAGATTTAATAAAAATTAATTTGTTTTTAGGGAATTATATTATTTTCATTTGTGATTGACTGATTTTTATTTTTGTGAATAACAGTATTTTTTCCCTGGTCCACAGATTTAATATTTTCATATGAAATGAAATCATTAGGTTAGATTTTAGTTACTAAATAAAGGAGATTTTGGTGATAATATTTAGAAATTAATTCGAAAATTGAAGTAGTACATTGATCAAGAATGACCAAATTGAATGAAGAGCTATGTAGTTGAACTACCTTAAAAGGACTACGTAGTTTAACTACCTTATAAAAGTTTAACATCATCACTCTTGTGCGCAGTCAAATTTGAAGCCAATCGGTTATAAACTTGATCAAATAAGTTGAGTTAGCTTTTCTAAAAATCACAGTTAAAATTATCAATTTCCAAGTAGACAAAAAGTTTACAGGGTACCGTTGTACATCGGACATACCAAACTAAGCAAATAACTAACGTCTCTTGTCCCTTTAAACACAGGGTAATTATTAAAATAATCATTCCTCGAAGTTTTCAGATCTTCATTTGCCTCCTGTAATGTTGATTCATCTTTTGCCTTCGATCTTGCTCTCTGTTTTTCCTCAAATCTATCCTCATTGTATTCTCCATTAAAAGATTTTCTAAATAATCATTAAAAAATGAAAATAAAAGAGTGGTCTGCCTTTATATCAATACAATGCAGACGATTGTTTTATTTAAATTGTTTTGTTTCAAATTAGAATAAAAATTTTAATTGTTTTAAATTCCACGGGCAACGCCGGGAACTTCAGCTTTTATATGAAAAGTGAAATAATAACTTATTTGTTGGGAGGATTACCTAATCCTTCCAAAGGAAATTAAAGATTAAATTCAGTAATATATCTACTTTCATATATTAGCTTATGTAATGATTTGGAAAAGAAAAATTTATTGCCTCAGGGAAACATGATTGTATGGAAACAAACAGTATGTATTCTTAACATTGCTATAAAAAATAACAGACATTACGGCAATGAGAGAAACGCGAAACTTTAGAATAATATTCGTTATAATTTGTTAAGAAGTCCTACATTTTGGAGTTTCTTGTGTTTTAACATTGATAAGAATTCAAAAGATCCTTTTTTGAAATTATTAGGCTTTCTGCGTCCCCTTCCCTGTGAATAATATTAGCTTTTAGCTGTTTCTCTGAAAGTCTGCCATTTTAAATCATTTTAAATTTTGGTGGATTTTTATTTTTGATTCGGCGCACTTACAAAAACAAATTTCAATTATTTTCCAGTAATTTGTTTCCCAGTTTTAAAGTTCCGTAAACCTTCCCTGGGGGCGTGTGAGGTCCCACACAAAATTTGGGTCCGATCGGTTCAGCCATTTATGCGTTTATTGGATACAAACGGACGGACAAACATACATACTGCAGACAAGCAAAGTATTTATATACTAGCCTTAGAGGGCGCTTCGCACCCATCTTCTAAATTAATTGTGAATATGTTCTCTTTGTGTATATCGTAAAACAAAACAAAAATAATTCGCGGATTTTCACAAAAAATTTCGTGGATTTTCAAAATTTTTAAAAATTTTATGAAGATCGAATTTTGATGGAGACAAATATTTGAAATTTTGATCATTCATAAACCTTCCCTGTGGTCTCGTGATGTCCCACACAAAATTTGGACCCGATCGGTTCAGCCGTTTTGACGTTTATTGGATACAAACAAACAGACAGACAAACAAACAGACAGACAAGCCAAATTTATATATAGATAGATTTAAACTCTAACAAGTTCTGCTGCTCGGCACATTTTAAAATATTCTGCACTTTTCTGTCATCAGCTTGGGTCAGCTTGGGTGAAAAAGTTTGTTTACGGAAATCTTTCATTAAAAGTGCTAAAACTAAATTTAGGGAATTTTGAAACACGAAGTTTTCTTAAAAATAGTTATGGCTCTTTATAATTTTTCAATTTTTATCAATTTAGTTCCAACATCACTGCAACGTTTTAACGATGTTAATAACGATGTCAATATAACGATGTTAATATAACGATGTGGTTGTGGGATGTCAAACTAAAGTATACATAAGATTTGAAATCGTTCGTGTTTTCAATTATAACATCTCTTAAAAAAGAGCCATTGAGTATAACAAAATAGTTTCGATGTTCTTATATAGGGTGTCCCAAAAAAAACATGGGAATTCAGTGACGAATTCGATATCGTCTTTGTTATGAAATAGCATTGTGATAACTCATTTCAAAAGCCATACTATTTTTATGTTTGCTAGAGTTTATTTTATGAAAAGGGTAAAAGACTGTAAATATGTGTCTATAATGTCTCCGCAAGATAAACAGTGAAGACGGACAAGTTTGTATACTGCAATTTTCTTGTTTTACTAAGTGCAACTGTATCTGTATGCAATCAAAACATAAACAAACATAAAAAATGTGAACATAGCAGACGAAACTCTTACAGATTACGACTTTCTCAGTAGGTATCACAATCAAAGAATTATTTAAAAAGACGATATCGAATTCGTCACTGAATTCCCATAATTTTTGGGACACGCTGTATGTGACTGGAAGAACTTTGTGGTCGCACTGGCAATTTTGCATTAATTGCATCTTCTCCTTGTATCTAGTTTCAGTAGATGGTTTACCTATTTTCCTGAGTTCTTCTAAGTCTAGCCTGTTCAAGACTTTGTTTAATACTTGGTCTCACTCGTAAAGGACTTGTCGTCTTTGCCTCTTCACTAAAATTCAAACTAATAGAAAATAAACAAAAAACCTTAGAAATTAAAAGTCTCGAACATTAATTAAATATTTGTATCAGATAAATAATTAGTTTCCAAATACTTTTTTCTATAAATTAATATTTCTTCTATTTTGCAGAAGTCCACGTTTCATTCCACTTGTTAGAGATAAGAGAGCTCACGTTACTAATAGCGTGATATTAGTTGGGCTGGGTGCACGTGCTGACTTTTTTTCTATATTGGTAGGCGATTATATATACAATGAAGACTGTTCTATTTAAGTTTTGATTTTTAACAAGCTTTTTTCGATTACATTACAAGTTTAAAAGTAGTCAAAGATAAGATTTTTTAATTGACAGCTTCTCTTGACTTCTGTGTTTATGTTTATGTACTATCCATGCTGTTCAATCGAAATTGAAAACGAAAGTCGTCTTTTATGTATTGCAATAATCGGTTAGTTAAAAGCGTTGTAAAAAAAATCAGACAGCGTTTCGTGTTTCTGCTGAAACATAACCTTTGTTTCTTTAACGGTATTTTCCGTTTTTTAAAGCCAAACTTTTTGTTGTTAACAATTTAAATATTTTTAACGGCGTAAACAGCAGATTATTAAGAAATCGTTTATAATTCAATCCATTCGCGATCCGTTAACGATTATTAAATGTAAAAATAGCAGGAAAAAACAGCATTCAAAAACATAATAACACGTGAAAACATCAAAATGTATTAAATTCCATAATTCAAAAAAATAAAGTTTCATGTAATTTTAAGCATTTTTGAAAGAATATCGCCATTTTCTTAAAAACATTTCTGTTTTGTTTTCTTCAAAAATATCGAGAATAAAATTACTAATTCTCGCATTTTTGTGTAGCACTTTAAACTAATAAACATGTCAAAACTAGACCCATCAGAAGTATTTAGTCAATTTACCTACAATGATTAAGTTTTGAACCGGAACCGGAAGTGTCCTTGTTGTTATTATTTGTCCAAGGTTGTACAGGAGGGTATGCATCCAAGGATCTAGAGTCTAAGGTGCTGCAGGGATCTCGAGATACCAGGCTGGATTCGGAGCAGGTAGGGTTGTACCGAATCATATATTCGGATTTATATAATCTAAAAACAATTAAATTAGATGGGAAAGTATGAAACTAATGAAAAGAATATAATTAAGTGTCACCTAAAAATGTAAGCAGAAAAAATATTTTGCCAAAATTCTTTTTTAGTTATGACCCTGATTCAGGAGGAGGAGGAAAACTGTGGTAGAGGAAGATGAAAATATAGAAATACTTATTTATGTGTATTTGATGCTTTCTACGCAAATAGTTGTACTGATTATATCAAATAGTTGTACTAATTATATCAAATAGTTGTACTAATTATATCAAATAGTTGTACTAATTATATCAAATAGTTGTACTAATTATATCAAATCACTTAAGAAGTACACTGTTTAGTGTTTACACTGCAAAACTGCTGTGTCTCGGGTTTAATAGACTATTTAAAGTCATAGCTTGACTTTGAGACTTAAAGTCGTCTTCCTATTCCAAAGTTGTCTGGTGCTCACTTTATAATTCTGAATTCTGAGCTATTGGAAAGAAACATTTCAGTTTTATCTCTAAGATGTCTCATACATATATATAAGAACCAAACTTGCAATGTTAAATGGACTGATTCTCTATCCCATTGTTTTCAAGTCACAAATGGAGTAAGACAGGGAGCGGTTAGTTCTCCGATATTATTCTGCATCTATATAAATGATTTGATAAAACAGTTGAGATTATCTACGATTGGTTGTCAAATACAAGGTATATACCTTGGAATATGGGTTTATGCTGATGACATAATTCTTCTGTCCCCAAGTAGGAATGGGTTATTGGAAATGACAAATATATGTGAGAAATTTGCACTAAAGTTTAGTACAAACGTGGACATAAACAAATCCAAGACTAAATGTGTTATTTTCAATAAATCTAATATTGATAGTAATAATGTATGTCCGATTATTCTAAATGGTGTCCCATTACCATATGTAGATGAATTTAAACATCTTGGAAATCTATTTCAATCCGATAATTCTATGACCAGAGATTGTAATTTGAAACGTGCGAAGTTTATATCAATAATTCACTCTTTGAATCAAGAATTTCATTTTTCTGAACCTACAATGGTTGTTAAGCTTTATAACATATATGCATCTAGTCTATATGGTTCCAACTTATGGGATTTGTTTTGTGTTAACATTGTAGAATTGTATACTTCTTGGAATACTGCTATTCGTATTTTATTTGGTTTGCCACGACAAACTCATAGATATTTTATTTAACAAATTTCTGAGCAAATTCATTTAAAAACTATGTTGTGTAGCCGATTTGTATCATTTTGCGAATCTATGTGTAAAAGTCCCAAGCTCAGCATCCGACTATTGTTTTATTTATGCAAAAATGACCAAAGAACAAAATTATGTAAGAATTTATCTAATATTGCAAATGAAACCTATGTAGATAAACTGTCCTTGAACAAGTCTCTAGTAAAGTCAAACATGATTTACGTGAATCCGGCTGAAAATGCGTGGAGAATTCCACTGTTAAAAGATTTACTATTAATCCTGTTTTAAAAGGATTTAACTATGATGAAATAGCTGTAATTATTCACGATATATGTAAAAACTAAATGAGTTTTTATTTTTATTTTATTTTATTGTTTTCAACTATATATTAATTCTATATTTCATATGTTATATATCTCATTTCTCGTTGATTTTAAATTGTACCATTATAATTGTGTACGAATAAATGGAATAAATAAATAATCTAACTTCTTGTCCGTATCGACATATTGTCACGTAAAACTAACTTCTTGTCTGTGACGACATATTGTCATGTATAGCTAACTTTTGTCCGTATCGACATATTGTCATTCAAAACTAACTTCTTGTCCGTATCGACATATTGTCATGTAAAGCTAACTTCTTGTCCGTATCGACATATTGTCACGTAAAACACACTTCTTGTCTATGACGACATATTGTCATGTAAAACTAACCTCTTGTCCATATCGACATATTGTCACATAAAACTAACTTCTTGTCCGTGACGACATATTGTCACATATAGCAAACTTCTTATCCGTATTGACATATTGTCACATATAGCTAACTTCTTGTCCGTATTGACATATTGTCACGTAAAACTAACTTCTTGTCCGTGTGACATATTGTCATGTATAGCTAACTTTTGTCCGTATCGACATATTGTCACGTAAAACTAACTTCTTGTCCGTATCGACAAATTGCCACGTAAAACTAACTTCTTGTCCGTATCAGCATATTCTCACGTCAAACTAACTTCTTGTCTGTAACGAAATATTGTCAAGAAAAACTAACTTCTTGTCCGTATCGACATATTGTCACGTAAAACTAACTTCTTGTCCGTATCGACAAATTGTCACGTAAAACTAACTTCTTGTCCGTATCAGCATATTCTCACGTCAAACTAACTTCTTGTCTGTAACGACATATTGTCAAGTAAAACTAACTTCTGGTCCGTATTGACATATTTTTACATAAAACTAACTTTTTGTCTGTATCAACATATTCTCACGTCAAACTAACTTCTTGTCTGTATAATGATATTTTCTCACGTAAAGCTAACTTCTTGTCTGTAACGACATATTGTCACGTAAAACTAACTTCTTGTCCGTATCGACATATTGTCCCGTAAAACTAACTTCTTGTCTGTATCGACATATTGTCCCGTAAAACTAACTTCTTGTCTGTATCGACATATTGTCATGTAAAGCTAACTTCTTGTCCGAATCAACATATTGTCCCGTAAAGCTAACTTCTTGTCTGTATCTACATATTGTCACATAAAACTAACTTCTTGTCCGTATCAACATATTGTCACGGAAAACTAACTTCTTGTCTGTAACAACATATACTCAGTCATATTTTGATCACTAATGCAAAATTCGTCGAAAATAGCAAAAGACTTTAACTTTTAAATTTGTTGAAGTTTTTGAAAAAAGTATGAAATAGCCAATACAAATAAAAATATATTTTAGGGGTAAAAATTGGTTCCAAAGTTAAGTCTGTGATTTGTGTTAGACACGTTATTCTGAACAAATTCTGGTAACCTTGCATCTACTTAGAAATTTCTGAATGAGACTGCAGGTTAAGATATCTTAGAAATTTCTAATGAATGAAATTAATTAATGGGATAAAAGTTCCAAGAACACATTTCTAAATAAAGACATCATTTTTGCAAAGAGAGGGCTGTTTTGCAAGAGAACTGATTTGTAAATAATAAAAAAAAACCTGCTATAAGATAAAAAGTTTTGATACACAACTGAATTTAAAATGATAAACTTTTGAAGAAATAAATTAAAAATTGCCAAAAGAAACTATTGAAACAAAATCTTTTAAGACAAGAAATTTAAATTTTTATAATAGAATCTGCAAATATGAAACTGTTTCACAAAAATTAAACTGCTTGGAAGTCTAAAACTGTTTCGCAAAAAAACTATTCTGACATTAGATAAATATTTTCAAATGACAATTTTTTAATTATCTAATATTTTCTAAATATGCAACAATATTTTGAACTAATTTCACCTAAGGTTCAATTTTTTTATAATTTTCTCCGATACAAACTTGTTTGCATGAACAACCTTTATAAAAACATAAACATCCTTTTTCAGGGTCATCTCATGTATCTTAACCTTTATTTTCTATTTTTGACTATGATCTCTTTTAAAGAAACTGAAAAAGCATGTCATTAAAAAATTCAAAAACTTCATAAAAATAAATTGAAACAGCTTGGGCTGTAAGTTTCCTATATGTAATATGTAAAAGCAAGGAAGAAAATAGCCAAGATAGTTGTACCAACCTGGTCTAGCAGTCCAGAGTCCATAACATGAAGGAGAAATTCTTTCTGGCTCAGTTCAGAAAAAGGCACTAAAGTTGTTCAGTGTTCATTCAAGGATTCAAACATTGTTTAGGGGTGTTCAGTGTTCATTCAAGAATTCAAACATGGTCTAGGGGTGTTCCGTGTTCATTCAAGAATTCAAACATGGTCTAGGGGTATTCAGTGTTCATTCAAGGATTCAAACATGGTTTAGGGGTGTTCAGTGTTCATTCAAGGATTCAAACATGGTTTAGGGGTGTTCAGTGTTCATTCAAGAATTCAAACATGGTTTAGGGGTATTCAGTGTTCATTCAAGGATTCAAACATGGTTTAGAGGTGTTCAGTGTTCATTCAATGATTCAAACATGGTCTAAGGTTTTTTCGCGATCACTTTTTTATATTAAAATTGTCAAATCAGAGTTTAAACAGCTTACAGATTTAAATTTATCAGGCTTTTTTCGTGAAAATCTATGAAAATCGTTTCCTTACAATTTAATGATAATTCTATTTTTATTTTTACTTATAGATATAAAGATAACGTATCTTAATAAGGAACAATTTTTAGAAAATAATCTTAGAATAATAAGTATGTCCCCGTGAATGTCTTATCTGAATCTTTATCTATATATTTAAAGTAGTAATCTCTGTTTGTTTGTTTCTAAATCCAATCATAACTCGTGAACCCCATCACGGATATGCCTTTAATTTTGATCGGGAATGTTTATAGTTTTGAGATGAAGTGTGTCTACTTTTCCACAGAAAATAGCTAAAATCGTAATTTACGACCAAGCGCGGGTAAACGGAGGGAGTTACATGGGTACCCTGGGCAACGCTGGTTTCTCAAACTAGTATATTTATTTTCTTGAATGTCTACCTAAATCTAAAACTCTATCCAAATATTTTGAGACATCCTCTTCCGTAAACTCCTAAAAATAAGGGTCTTAAAGGGACTGTTCACATAATTTCAAATGAACCTCCAAATTAAAACAGTCGCGTTTTCGCCCTTTATCGGATAAAAAATAATCTCAACTTCCAATTAATTGGAATTGAAAATTTTTAAAAACGATTCACACCGAAGAACACAGCGTCCATACAAATTCGGAAAGATGCAACATTCAAACAAATCAATTTAATTCCAAACAAATCATTCAGATATTACAAACAATAGTTATCGATTATTTTTCGACGCATTCGTAATATAGTTAATATTTCATAATATTTTTGATTTTGTTTTTTTAAATAATTTTCGCTGGCGCTGGATTTTCGAACATTCCTGGAAAATATGAAAATGTCGTCTTCATTATCAAAAATCCTCGAAACAGGGATAAATGTTTTCAAACGTAACTCACAGATCATGAAAAATACAAAATATTATGAAATATCAACTATTTCCGAATGCGTCGAAAAATAATCTTAACTATTGTTTGTAATATCTATATGATTTGTTTGGAATTAAATTGATTTGTTTGCGATCTAATATGATTACATCGACCAGGATAATTTAACACTGATTTCTTCTTGCTCAATAAAGTATAAATCTTCCAAAGTGTCAAATTATTTCACCTTTATTCTGCCATCCTTTATCTGCTTTATCAACCTTAAAAATTGATGTCATCTTTATAATTGGATTTTATTCTATTTTATATAAATCTTACAAAAATAAATGAATAGCCATGAATTATGCGGAAATAGTTTCAAAGAGCTAGAGACAATTATTCACATAAAAAAAACTAAATATCTATCTGCAGCATTCAATTATATCAGTCTCCGAAGTTGTGGGCTAAACTTTAATAAACATGCTTTTGATTAACTGCAAATGTTTTTTACCTAATTCTTGATTCTAAAGGTATTTCTGCATCTTTCTTTCCGTCTTCTTCTTCACAAAGGGTTCTGTCTAAAGAAAAGTTTCAAATAAATCTGCATAACTGTAATGAATATCGTGTAACACTATATTTGTTAACCTGAATATACCTAGAAATATTACATTGTTTATCGTCTGTAAATCTAAATGCGCTTGTACATAGCTACACAAAACTTATATTGCAATTGACCTAACCTAGCTACGTCTTTAAATAACTACGTCAAACCTGTGTTGTGATTAGCTTTACTATGCTTGTATATAATGTCGTAAAACCTGTAATTACGTTGATTAACTTAACTTGTAAGATAGAACCCAAAATACATTTAGTTGGAATAGACTCCTTAAACAATTTATCCTGTGAGAGTAATTTTCCCTGTTTAGCGAACAAGAAGCGTCATGGAAAACCTTCTTAAAAGATAGATTTGGAATTGGTACAGATAGATTGTGTCTGGTTTGACATCGATAGTATAGCTCTGATAGATTTTGTCTGGTGTAACATTGATAGTATAGCTCTGATAGATTGTGTCTGGTTTGACATTGATAGTATAGCTCTGATAGATTGTGTAGTATAGCTCTTAAGGATTGTGCCTGGTTTAACATTGATAGTAAAGCTCTGATAGATTGTGTCTGGTTTAACATTGATAGTAAAGCTCTGATAGATTGTGTCTGGTTTAACATTGATAGTATAGCTCTGATAGATTGTGTCTGGTTTAACATTGATAGTATAGCTCTGATAGATTGTGTCTGGTTTAACATTGATAGTAAAGCTCTGATAGATCGTGTCCAGTTTGACATTAACAGTAAAGCTCTGATAGATTGTGTCTGGTTTAACATTGATAGTATAGCTCTGATAGATTGTGTCTGGTTTAACATTGATAGTAAAGCTTTGATAAATCGTGTCTGGTTTAACATTGATAGTAAAACTCTGATAGATCGTGTCCAGTTTGACATTAACAGTAAAGCTGTGATAGATCGTGTTTGTGTCTGTTTTGACATTAGTAGTAAAGCCCTGATAGATCGTGTCCAGTTTGACATTGATAGTATAGCTCTGATAGATTTTGTCCAGTTTGACATTGACAGTAAAGCTTTGATAGATCGGGTCCGGTTTGACATTGGTAGTGAAGCATTGTACAGATAGAGCGTGTACGGTTTTGACATTGATCGTAAAGCATTATACAAATAGATTGTGTCAGGATTAACATTGATAGTAGAGTGTAATTGAACTGATTAGTTCTTATGCCTCGTAGACCAACGAGAGGGATTGAGTTGCTGGATTGATAAGGGTCTATACGGATTTATTGGAGTAGGGCATTTACTACATAACAAGTTCAAAATATATCTAGAGAAACTTTGAAATGTGTTTTCTATGAAATTTGCTATTACTGAAATTCCTCTTCGAATTCAATGAATTTCTTTTTCTATGAAATTTCCATCAATGATTTTCTTTTTCCAAATATAAGATGACATATCTATGAGTTGTCCTGTTTCTCAAATGACCATTCTATGAATTTCCTTTTCTATGAAAAGTTATATTTTTTTACATATAAAATGTTCTATCTGTGAAATTTCCTGTTTATTAAATAATTTTCTTTTTTTACTTATGAAAGTCTTCTCTCTAAAATGTCATTTATACGAAATGTCCTGTCTATTAAATGTCCTATCCTTGAAATTTCCTATCTTTGAAATGTCTTGCCTAAGAATTGTCCTATCTATGAACTATCTTGTCTATGAAATGTCCTATCTATAAAATGTCCTTAAATCTATTAAATGTCCTATCTATTAACTGTTATCTGTAAAATGTCTTTCTATGAAATGTCCTAACACCTTCGCAAATGTATTCTTATTAAATTTCTTTTGACAGTACTAAGTTTAATTAATTAAGATGCAAAGTTGCATGCAAAATCAACAAAGGAACTGATTTCTTGAAACTTGAATTTGAATGAACCGAAGGTCGTAAAAGGAACTTGATATTTCAAATTTTAACTTCACACGGGCAGCAATAGACTACATTTGAATTTCCGAGTCTATGGACAGGACTAGCTGGTGCAACAAGGTTGACGCGTGCGGTCAGACTTTAGGTTGAATTTACTTTTACTAAAGGGTCAGAGGTGCGTGTTCAGGTTAACCATAAAGGATGAGACTGCAAAGACGACTTAAAAGTTTGAAGATCCCAAGGCTAAATCAAGTCTGCTGACTCGAATAAAGTCATGAAATGACGGCTAAAAACTATTTGGCAAATAAAGACACGATTTTACAGCTGCTGGGAATAATCAAATAGATGGCAACGTAGAATTTGTACACTCTTAGTACAGTTGTATTCTGACGTCACAAGTGTCAATTCAGTTTTATGTGTCAGACAAAATTATTTAAAAAAGTGATAGTTTTAGAATAAAGTGCTTATCTTACGGTAAAATAAGTGCAATTTTGTGTGTTCTTTATTTTCTGGTTTTACACTTTTTTATTCAATCTTCAAACATGTCAACTAATGGAGAAAATTTTGTTTTCTTTGTTATATTTTAAACTTGTGACGTGGTGTATAATTGGTCTATTTCTCTGTTGCCACCTATTGTACTTGATAATCTATTTCTCTGTTGCCACCTATTGTACTTGATAATCTATTTCTCTGTTGCCACCTATTGTACTTGATAATCTATTTGGGGAATCATGAATAAGAAGAAAAAAAAAAAACAGTATAAATTTCGTATAGTCGGCTCTGAAGTCTCATCCGTTATGGGTAACCCTGTAGATCTAAAAGAGTGTTGTTAGTTCCTTTCCAACCCTTAGCTACTTGAAAATTATGTTTATTTTTAAATCTTTTGATGGCTTCTCGGCTTTCTCTTGGTTGGACAGATTGAGAGAGAAGAATATTGATTTTAACTAAACCTACTTACCGAGCTGATATAGCGACCTGAAAATATATCTTAATTAATATTTCTAAAGATGCTTCCAGATTACACAACCCCAGTCAGATCAATATAAACTCTTTCAACATCATGAACTTTTGAGAAAGAAAAATTCCAAGATTTGATCGTTACAACCCGATCAAATCCTTTTTTTAAAATACTAAAGAGAATAATAAAAAAGGGAGTCTTTATCAAGTAAATTATATGCAGTTATTTTATCTTTTCGTTGGTGGGAGAGTAAAAAACATTTGCAAAACTGTAATAATCCGAGTACGTTAAAGATTTAAAATTCAAAAAAATATCTACAAAATCTATTTTTTTCTAAAAGGTCAATTTTTTCAAATCTTTTATATTTGTAGGTATCTATTAACTATGAAGAGGGTGTCCCAAAAAACGATCTTTAAGACATTGTAGCACTCTCCATAGTTCAATTTTTAAAAAGTTGTACATTTTTTAAATCTTTGGACCATTTCCGATCGATTGATTTCAATTAGATGTATGTAGCAGTAAAATTAAGAAAGTATTGACTGTTTGAAGTTTGTTATTTCAACTCAGAGTTCATGAATTGATTTTTTCGAATTTTAAAAATATTATGGAACTTTATTAGTGTCTGAAAAACATTCAAATCTTTTAAACAATCTTAAAAATGCGCAATTATTGTTTAATAATGGCAAGACCTCAGTTTACAACACAGGAAAGAAACTTCCTTGCTTTTGAGTATCACAAAAGAAAGGGTCACAGAAACTTTATGCCTGGTCTTATCATGGACTTTGTGCGTAAATTTCTCAATGCAAGACATCCTGCTTTATGTCATGTCAGAAGAAATTATAAAAAGGCAATGAGCTAGGGACAGTACTCAATGTGAATAGTAAAACAAGTCCTGGAAATTCATTCAGTGGAAGATCTCGATATGTTGCTAGAGTAGACGTTGATATGTGCATGAGAGCAATTATGGATGTAAGGAATAGAGCAGAAAAATGTATTGCAAACCATTGGGGGCATTTTGAGTAGAAAGACCATAAACATGTATTTGTATCAAAATTCTATATCATTTTTGTAATTGTCAATTTCAATTTTCGACCAAGCCAAAATGACAAACTTCAAACGGTCAATACTTCCTAAATTTTAGTGCTACATACCTCTAATTGAAATCATTCGATCGGAAATGTTCCAAAAAATTAAAAAATGAACAATTTTTTAAAAATTGAACCATCGCGATGGCTACAATGTCTTAAAGATCGTTTTTTTGGGACACCCTGTACATAAAGTAGTAATCTCTGTTTGTTTGTTTGTTTGTATGTCTGATCAGAATGTTTAAATCCCTTGACCGATTTTCCAACTCGGGAAAACCACGGGAATTTCTTATCTTGATTTTGAGATTCTAAGTTGAATGGGTCGGCTTTTAAAGGAAAAAATGGATGAAATCATGATTTCCGACCAAGTGCGGATAAACGGCGGGAGTAACTATGAGTAAACTAGGCAGCTACGGGTTCCCAAGCCAGTATAAACGTAAAAAATTACAATTACCATCTTAATGTATTGTTGAGCACAACTCCAGGCTCACTACTTCCCATAGCTCTGCAGCTTAATATCTCTCTGAAAACAATGACATTTTTTTCTCAAACATTAAAGCCAAACAAAAAGGTTTTAGAAAAAAAAATTATGTTTTTCGTCCAAGAATAATCAATTTTGGTTAAACTTTACAGAAAATGAAATCAGAGAATCTGAAGCCTTTTTTCTACCAATGCAAGAAAGACTTTATATTATTACATGACAATTTTTAAATATGTTGGGTATAGAAAAGATTTATTTAATAAAGTACGAATTACATTTGCAAATTCTATTCATAACAGTGTACCTGATAGCTGTAGTATCTAACCATACAAGGTTAGGGTGCTCAAACATACTGTTCCCTTGCTTCTCTATTCGTCCTTTTACCCTGAATACAAATACTTTTAGTTTAGAATAGAACGGTATAGAACCAATTCCAATACAACCTCTCAATCCTGTATTGAACCCTTCAATCTAGAATACAATCTTTTAATTTAGAATACAACCTTTCAATCTAGAATACAACCCTTCAATCTTGAATACAACCTTCAAACTAGAAAATAACCCTTCAATCTAGAATACAACCCTTCAATCTAGTATATAACCCTTCAATCTAGTATACAACCCTTCAATCTAGAATACAACCCTTCAATCTAGTATACAACCCTTTAATCTAGAATACAACCCTTCAATCTAGAATACAACCTTTCAATCTAGAATACAACCCTTCAATCTAGAATACAACCCTTTAATCTAGAAAACAACCCTTCAATATAGTATACAACCCTTCAATATAGTATATAACCCTTCAATCTAGTATATAACCCTTCAATCTAGTATACAACCCTTTAATCTAGAATACAACCCGTCAATCTAGTATACAACCCTTCAATCTAGAATACAACCCTTCAATCTAGTATACAACCCTTTAATCTAGAATACAACCCTTCAATCTAGAATACAACCTTTCAATCTAGAATACAACCCTTCAATCTAGAATACAACCCTTCAATCTAGTAAAAAACCCTTTAATCTAGAATACAACCCTTCAATCTAGTATACAACCCTTCAATCTAGAATACAACCCTTCAATCTAGTATACAACCCTTTAATCTAAAGTACAACCCTTCAATCTAGAATACAACCCTTCAATCAAGTATACAACCCTTCAATCTAGAATACAATCCTTCAATCAAGTATACAACCCTTCAATCTAGAATACAACCCTTCAGTCAAGTATACAACCCTTAAATCGATCTAGAATAACCACTTCAATGTAGAATACAACACGTTAATCCAAAAGAGACATGATATGTTAGTATAGGATGATCGTAAATAAAAGATAAACAGATAGTAAGAATATGATGAGACCAATATTTACCTTTTCCTCATAATATCAGTTCCAAGATCAGCGTACACTAAACTATAGTTTAGATCCCAGAATACAGTCTCATCGCACAAAGTACTCTCAAGAACCTGAACCATAAAAGGGACTGTAAGTACTCTCAAGAACCTGAACCATTAAAGGGACTTAAGTACTTTCAAGAACCTGAACAATTAAAGGGACTGTAAGTACTCTCAAGAACCTGAACCATTAAAGGGACTGTAAGTACTCTCAAGAACCTGAACTATTAAAGGGACTGTAAGTACTCTCAAGAACCTAAACCATTAAAGGGACTGTAAGCGTAATTTCAAGGAACACTCAATGCAAAGAGGCGTATGTCCGATTCACAACGATACCCTTAAAAGCTCTGACTCACCAAGTATGAAGTATGAATTAGATATCAAAGTTTACAATTTCGAAACCTGTTAACTTACAATTGTGGTTTCTCTATAAAAGTGACTTGTGCAATATGTAAATCATAAAGTTTTAACCCTAGAAAACCGACAATATCTTCCACATTATTGATTAACAAAAGGTTTCAAGCGTACCGTTGTGAAACATTGTAATCTTTGCAATAATCTTTGCTTCAAAAAAATCTAAACTGTGGTTTTTTAACCGATAAGGCTTTTTTAAAGTCGAGTATAAAAAAATGCTAATAAATGCTGTTTTCTGGCTTTCATTTTAAATATGTTTAAACTGAATATAATTTTACCTCAGAGCAAAGTTGCACAAGATGCTTGATTCTGAAAACTTTAGCAGCATGCCATAATCTCCACAGTAGGTTTCTACTGTACCCATTCTCATAATCTGACTTTTCAAACCTATACAGTGTACTGTGCACTGTAGCCATCCTCATAATCTGTTTTATTTAACTTATACAGTTTACTGTGAACTGTGTAGCCATTCTCATAATCTGTTTTATTAGACCTGTACAGTTTACTGTGTACTGTGTACCCATTCTCAAAATCAGATTTATTAAACCTAGACATTGCACTGTCTAGTGTACCCATTCTCAAAATCTGATTTATTAAACCTATACAGTGTACTGTGTTCTGTGTACCCATTCTCATAATCTGTTTTATTAAACCTATTCAGTTTACTGTGTACTGTGTAACCATTTTCATAATCAGATTTATTAAACCTAGACAGTGTGCTGTCTAGTGTACCCATTCTCAAAATCTGATTTATTAAACCTAGACAGTTCACTGTGTACTGTGTACTCATTCTCAAAATCAGATTTATTGAACCTAGACAGTGTGCTGTCTAGTGTACCCATTCTCAAAATCTGATTTATTAAACCTAGACAGTTTACTGTGTGCCCATTCTCAAAATCTGATTTATTAAACCTAGACAGTGTGCTGTGTAGTCTACCCATTCTAATAATCTGATTTATTAAACCTAAACAGTGTACTGTGTACTGTACTCATTCTCATAATCTGATTTATTAAACCTATACAGTGTAATGTGTAGAGTTCATTCTCATAATCTGATTTATTTAACCTATACATTTTAATGTGTAGTGTACTCATTCTAATAATCTGATTTATTAAACCTAGACAATGTACTGTGTAGTGCACCCATTCTCAAAATCTGATTTATTAAACCTATACAGTGTACTGTTTAGTGTACCCATTCTCAAAATCTGATTTATTAAACCTATACAGTGTACTGTACTCATTCTAATAATCTGATTTATTAAACCTAGACAATGTACTGTGTAGTCCATTCTCAAAATCTGATTTATTAAACCTATACAGTGTACTGTTTAGTGTACCCATTCTCAAAATCTGATTTATTAAACCTATACAGTGTACTGTGTACTGCAGTGTACCCATTCTCATAATCTGATATATTTAACCTATACAGTGTAATGTGTAGTGTACCCATTCTCATAATCTGATTTATTATACTATACAGTTTACTGTGTAGTGTACCCATTCTAATAATCTGATTTATTAAACCTATACAGTGTACTGAGTAGTGTACTCATTCTCATAATCTGATTTATTAAACCTAAACAGTGTACTGTGTGCTGTGTACTCATTCTCATAATCAAATTTATCTAACATAATGAAAAAAATACTAATGATTACCAATAAGGATGTACTTAAATCGTTCTGGTTGGTATTTGAAGAAAATAAATAAAAAATAAAACTTCCAACATTTGAAAACTATTTCCTGTTAAAGTTAGATTTTATTAAACTTTGCAATATTTGTATCCTATAAGAGGAAATATAAAAATATTTTTTTTTCTCAGTGTCAAAATCTAGGACAGTGTCTGTGTGAGAAAAGCAACTGTTTAGAACAAATAATTTAAAAAGTTATAAAACCTTACTGATTTTAATGGAACCCAAAACAAAATAGATTCTAGTACAATAGATGGCAACGTAGAATTTGTGCACTCTCAGTACAGTTGTATTCTGTCGTCACAAGTGTCAATTCAGTTTTATGTGTCAGACAAGATTATGAATAACAGTAATAATTTTAGAATAAAGTGCTTATCTTACAGTAAAATATAAGTGCAATTTTATGTGTTCTTTATTTGCTGCTTTTACACTTTTTATTTATTGGAAAACATGTCAACATGAGAAAATTTCGTTTTCCTTGTTATATTTGATACTATGTGACGTTGTGTATAATCGGTTCATTTCTATGTTGCCACCTATAATACTTGATAATCTATTTGAACTAAATCTATTGAACTTGATAATCTATTTGAACTAAACCTATTGAACTTGATTTTCTATTTGAACTAAACCTATTGAACTTGATAATCTATTTGAACTAAACCTATTGAACTTGATAATCTATTTGAACTAAACCTATTGAACTTGATAATCTGTTTGAACTAAACCTATTGAACTTGATAATCTATTTGAACTAAACCTATTGAACTTGATAATCTGTTTGAACTAAACCTATTGTACTTGATAATCTGTTTGAACTAAACCTATTGTACTTGATAATCTAATTGAACTAAACCTATTGATCTTGATAATCTATTTCAACTAAACCTATTGAACTTGATAATCTATTTGAACCAAAATCTAAATCTGTTTGAACTAAACCTATTGAACTTGATAATCTAATTGAACTAAACCTATTGAACTTGATAATCCATTTGAACTAAACCTATTGAACTTGATAATCTATTTGAACTAAACCTATTGATCTTGATAATCTATTTCAACTAAACCTATTGACCTTGATAATCTATTTGAACTAAACCTATTGTACTTGATAATCTATTTGAACTAAACCTATTGATCTTGATAATCTATTTCAACTAAACCTATTGACCTTGATAATCTATTTGAACTAAACCTATTGTACTTGATAATCTGTTTGAACTAAACCTATTGATCTTGATAATCTATTTCAACTAAACCTATTGACCTTGATAATCTATTTGAACTAAACCTATTAAACTTGATAATCTATTTGAACTAAACCTATTAAACTTGATAATCTGTTTGAACTAAAGGTATCACAACAATTATCAGCCTAAAACTACCAACTTGTGATTTGCCTTTAATTGGTCAGTTTTTTGTCTTTATTTTCTTTCAAGGTCAAAATTAGCCAATTTTTGTAAAATATTAGTTATTTTAAGAATTTGTTTTTCTTATACTAGGTCAAATTTTTACCATAACAGAAGATAAGTGCAAAAAAAACCGATCCAAAAACGATCCAAAATGCAAGTTGTAACGATCGTCATGTGATCGATGATTCTATTGTTTACAAGGAACTATCTCTGTTACCTGTCTTTATAGCAGTATTCTAGCATAGCTTCCACAGCTATTGGTGGAATTCCCTCAATCTCAACTTTTACACTGTTGTTGCTGTTGTTGCTGTTGTTCCTTAACAATACACGCGATAAGCTAACATATCTTACTTAAAGATAGTGTAAGCGTAATTTAAAGTAACCCTCCATGAAAAGATGGCAAAGTCCAATTCACAACGTTACCATTGAATCCATTATTCAATCAATAATGTGGAAGATATTCTCGTTTCTAGAAGTTTAAAAGTGTTTATTTCTGGTAATTTCAATATGTTCTCCTGCAGAAATGCTCATGTCACTTTGTATAGAAACCCGAGTTGAAAATAAGCATTTTTTTTAAATTATAAACATTCATATTCAATTCTTCTATTCTGTTATTCTTCTATTCTTAAATAAATAAATCTTAAATAAATCTTAAAGACTTGATCTCGACATCCAATGCATGGCACTTTTAAATTCGAGGATCATGGATATTTTAATGCAGAGAATGCCTATCAAGGGATATCAAAGAGGACCTAAAATAATCTTAAAGATCTGCATTAGATGGAGATCTCAATGCAACTGATCCCAAGATTAACTCTGGAATAGTAAGTCGACTTTTAGGCTCAATTTATGACTTTAGATAGTCCAATAAACATAAGACGCAACAATTGTGCAGTGCAAATAGGCACATTTCACTTACTAAGTGATTAAATAACTTACTAGTAAAGCTATTTGCTTTGTAACAACATCAAATGCACTTCAGTATTACTTTAATGTCGTCTTAATATTCTATAGTTTTCTACCTGTCACTTTAGCAAAAGCCATATAAAAAAACTTGACGACAAAATGACCTTGTTGATATTGTATTGTAACCATCGTTGTAATTTCGAAGCATCTTTAATTTGAAGAGGGATATACACCCGATTTACAATGGTACCCTAAAGAATATTCATCTGATTATGTGGAAGAAATTGTCGTTTTCTAGACATATAACAAGTCACTTAAAACTAAAACTAAAACTTTTTTTGAAATATGATAGACATTTTAGTAAGGCTTAGCTTTTAGGGATACCAATTGTAAATTAGATTTGATATTCTTTAAATGGAGACAGGAGATAGATTTGAAATTACACATACAGTCCCATTAAGCGAAAATATCTTATAAAGATTCTATTCTAGTGCAATATTGTTATGATAATTATTTACATATAATCTTCGTTTTTTACATCAGACTATTTACACACTTTTTAAAAACGATTCATACACTTGTTTTAACAGACAATGTATACACACTTTTTAACAGACAATTCATACACACTTTTTAACAGACAATTTATAACACATTTTTAACAGACAATTTATACACTTTTTTAACAGACAATTTATACACACTTTTTAACAGACAATTTATACACACTTTTTTAACAGACAATTTTTACTAACTTATTTAACAGACAATTTATACACACTTTTTTAACAGACAATTTTTACTAACTTATTTAACAGACAATTTATACACACTTTTTTAACAGACAATTTATACACACTTTATTAACAGACAATTTATACACACTTTTTTAAACAGACAATTTACACACTTTTATAAACAGACAATTTATACACACTTTTTTAACAGACAATTTATACACACTTTTTTAACAGACAATTCATACACAGTTATTTAACAGACAATTTATACACACTTATTTAACAGACAATTTATAACACTTTTTTAACAGACAATTTATACACACTTTCTTAACAGACAATTTATACACACTTTTTTAACAGACAATTTATACACACTGTTTTAACAGACAATTCATACACTTTTTTAACAGACAATTTATACAAACTTATTTAACAGACAATTTATACACACTTATTTAACAGACAATTTATACACACTTTTTTAACAGACAATTCATACACAGTTTTTTAACAGACAATTTATACACACTTTTTTAACAGACAATTTATACACACTTCTTTAACGTACTTGGCCATTCAGCTTTCAGACAACTATCTCAATTGCTGGAACTTTATATTTTGAGAAATCTAATTAATTTTTTCAGAGAAATGTACTATTCTACTTGCTTGGTTTCATCATCCTCGTTTCTCTTCCAACATTACGTTTATATAATTCTACCACGAAATAATATAATCTTGTAAAATAAGATCTTTTTAAGTTTTAATCTAATATTCTGAGATTTTTCAGATTGTTAACAGTTCATTTTCTTTATTTTTATTTTTTTTTAATTTCTAAATAACATCATTGAGAACGCAGACTTAAGGAGAATCAGGGTGTCCCACGAAACATGACGGTATCAAGGCGACTTGAAGGTCGTCTTTAATCTTGAAATTTATTTGTGAAATTTGATCGTCAGCCTACTTTAACAGCAAATTATATCAAAAAGCAACATTCAAGTCGTCAGTTGCTACACTGTCATGATTCATGGGACACCCTTTTGCATCCTCTCTTTTGCTCAAAAACCATAAAAAATTTGCCGATTACTTCTTAAAACTAAATCTAAAACAAATGCATTTTCGCTCTAGAATGTGCATGTCTAGGGCTACAAAAAAAATACTGACGGACTTGTGAGGTAATATTAAAAGTGTTGCGACAATTCAAAATCGAACCAGTCTTGAAACAAGTCTGTATCTATGCTAATAATTGAAAATAATCTTATTTCTGGACAACCCCCATACAAAATTTTAATGAGGATATGAAATTTGTATTTAAACAATATATTTTTGCTTGTTTGGGTGTCTGTGAATAATACGTGAATACGTGTGTGGCAACTCATCAGATAACAGAAAAGGTTTATTTATGGATTGTTAAAAGTAAAAATGTTGTTTAGAAGAAATGATGATCTTAAAAGTTTAAGAAATCTATTAATGTTTACAGAAAAGTTCGCAACAATTTGAGTTTTACAATTAAAAAGAAAAATATTGTTTGGATAGCAACATTTAAACGCTTGAGATGTTGCTCACAGAGGAGCGCAAAAACGTCCAGAAAGCCTTGTGTATAAACATTTCTTCATCAGAGAAGTTCATTATTTTCAGTGAAATTTGTTTACCTATTCCACGGACAGCCGGAGTACATTTGAATTTCCGAGCCGGGTCAACCTTTCCGGTCTCATGGTTTGTACTGTACCGCCTGGCAGGGGTCAACAAAGTTGGTCTAGCTCTGTGTACAGGACAAGCTGGTACAACGAGGTTGACGCGGTCAGACTTTACACTTCTATAGGTTGAATTTACTTTTATTACAGCGACAGATCTGCGAGATTCTGTAGCTTGTATGATTTGACAAAGGTTATTATAGTTATGGTGTTTGCTTGCTTGATTAACTGCTTGAAATACACCTATTGATCAATTGTGAAAACAGCGCAGAATAACCACGAAACTAACCTTTCGCAGTTAGAGATGAGCGCTTTCGGCTTTTTATTACGTTTGTTCATCGTATGTGAACAACCCATTTTGTTTATTTTTTTCAATTGTTAAAAAATTGATTTCGTTCAATCTCAAAACTATCGCTCAATTTCCGTCTATTCGGTTCGTTTCCTCAGTGAAAGATCGTTTGGTAAATCCTTTACTAAGATCGATAGATTGATTAAAGAACTATAAAAATTGTTTGTTTTAAAAAATCGTTTGTTCGGTAAATAAAACTATTTAGAATTCGTTAAAGAACGTTTAGAATCGTTGAACAATTTTAAATTGTTAAAACAACACCATCGTTTACAAAAACGATTCCCATCTATAATTGCAACATAGTATGTTGCATGATTTAAAGCTTATTGCGGGATTTTTTTTACATCCTTTAGTTAAACTAGCTTTTCCTTCTTTCTCTTCACATTTAACACGCTATGTATGAAATATTTTAATCTAGGAAAATAAGAGGTTTTTCTTGCCAACGTTTGCCAAAATTTTGATTATTTCAAGAACTATAGTGCATGTATGCCCAGAACTGTAATAAATCTTCCACTTTTATAAGTGTATCTTAAAGGGAGTGTTCGCGAAAAATGTAAGGGGGTATAGGCTGATATCGAATTGAATTTGATATCGACTGATACTAATCTTAATACAGGGTGTCCCACTAAACTTGGGAATTCAGTGACGAATTCGATATCGTCTTTGTTATGAATTAGCATTGTAATACCTAATTTCAAACGCCATAATATTATTATGTCTGCTAGAGTTTATTTTATGAAAAGGGTAAATGACTATAAAGATGTGTCTATTATGTCTCCGCAAGATGAACAGCTGTTTGTATACTGTAATTTTCTTGTTTTACTAAGTACAACCGTAAGCAGTAAAAACATAAACAAACAAAATGTGAACATAGCAAACGAAACTTTTACAAATTACAGCTTTCTCAGTAAGTATCACTGTACTAAATCAAAGAATTATTTAAAAAGACGATATCGAATTCGTCACTGAATTCCATGTTTATTGGGACACCCTGTATTCCCATGTTTTTTGGGTATACTATCTGTTTCGTATTTAAGGAGAGAACGACTCATACACAAGAATGAGTCGCATTATTTCACTCAGATCGTAATTAATTCAATTAAATTTAATATTAATCATTTACCTATTATATAACCTAAAAATAACAAACTCGATTCAATGCATTTTTAATTAGTTAATATTTCATAATATTAATTTTATATAATGTTCTTTAATCGACGATTATTTGGCCGATAGATGTCTCATTTCTCAATGTTTAGGGGTTTTGCTTGGATAGACATCTAGCAGCCAAAAAACGTCGTTTAAACTACATGAAAAATTAAACAATATCTTATTGATCAGATTTTGGTTTCAAGGGTACTGTTGTGAATCGGGCATTGCGATCTTTGCATGTAAGGTCACTTGAAATATAAGTAAACATATAATGGCTTACTGTGATAAGGACAGGCAAGGAGGAATATCAGGTCCTCCCTCTACAGGATAGAACAGCTGATGAAATACAGGACTTGCAGCACACAGGACTAACCTTAATCAATAATAATTATAATAACAGTAATATAAAAATATAGAAATGAACTAGACATTGAATCAAATATTAGAAAAATCACGTAGCATGAGCACGAACAGTTATAAAAACTAATTAAAAATCTTAAAAAAAATAATTAAAAAATATATATTTATAAAAATAGAAAACTCTTCAATTTTGGCCTTGACGTCAGACCATTAGTCGCAGAATTATAATCCCTTTTGCATTTTTACCCTAATCTCTACAAATGTTTCCTGTTGTGCAACCTCTTCCCTTTAACATAGGCTTTCCAAACTGCTAAAGCTAGTTAAACCCTAAATAAGCCATACATCGAAAGAATTCAATAAATGTCGTATTCTTCACTTTCTGATAATGGAATGTTGCAGATATTTAGTTTTTTAATTAAATGCTTATTTGCAGCTCTTTAAAACTGTTCCCGCATATTCATGGTTATTTATTTATTTTCGCAAATACTGAGATTTAAGTAAAATAGTATAAAAGCATTGAAAAATTGTCAAGATGACATTTGATAAATTCTTTCGATGTATGGCTCATTTAGGGTTTAACTGTATAAAATGTAAAAATCCAGTGACTGGAAATAATCTTATTTAGGTAAAATTAGGCATTTTGGGAGTATGCCTGAGGACTCAGGCAGTAAGTATTTAAGCCCAGGGTGTGGGGGGTGTATTTTAGAAAAGTAAAAAATATTGAACAGTCTCAGAAGGAAACTTTTTGAGAAACATCCAAAAAAAATGTTCCAATTAGGTCTTTTTATTTTTATACTTTTAAGTTTTTTTTAAAAATAAAAATCGTAATTATAAATTTCTTGTCTTTTAACTTTTCTTTTTCCATTTATTTGAAAAAAAATATTTCTCTAACCCTTAAAAGACGGGGTTTAATTAAAGTAAGTAAGTAAGTAATTACAAAAACATTTAAAAATCTCCAAAGTTAGAGGTTGTAAGAATATTTCCCCCCAAATCTAAGAAAAGAAAAAGGAAAGGAAAAGGAAAGGAAAAGGAAAGGAAAAGGAAAGGAAAAGGAAAGGAAAAGGAAAGGAAAAGGAAAGGAAAAGGAAAGGAAAAGGAAAGGAAAAGGAAAGGAAAAGGAAAGGAAAAGGAAAGGAAAAGGAAAGGAAAAAGAAAAGAAAAAGGAAAGGGAAAGGAAGTGAAAAGAAAAGGAAAAGGAAAGGAAAAGGAAAAGGAAAGTTACATATTTATTGTTTACATTACATTTAATATAACTGGTGGTGGACAGTTAGTATTTTTCGACGATGAACAAACAACTATTGGAAATAATAATTATAGAGCTAATTTTAATGTTGAAAAAATAAAATAGGGTTTAAGGGTCATGAATATGTAAAGCATTTCCGATTCAAATAAACTTAAAACTTATAAATTCATAAGTTTCATGTTCATGAATAACATTAACAGCATGAAAGTACAAGAAAATATGTTTTTCATCAAGAATTCTAATCAACATGTTGTCCTACTTATACAGTATATAGAAGGGCTTTAAGAAAATAAAAAGGGGGTAAAACTTTAGCAAAAGTTATTCTGTCCTGCTTGCTGGGTAACCCCTTTTTTTATGTACAAAATGTGCACTGTATAATCCGGTGTACTGTACAGTATAACTTGGTGTACCGTATAACCTGGTGTACTGCATAACTTGGTGCAGTAATATTTAACCAGAGCCCAAAACTTAAGACAGGGTATCGTTATGAAAACCAGCTTTAAAACCCGGGTTTACGTATGGGGAATTAGGCAGTTTTGTGGATATCAATATTTTTGTTATGAAATATTATTTTGTTTAGTTTCTTCATTTTTGTCGAATCTTTTAAATCTAAATCTACAAAAAGTTAAGACCCCAAAAAGGAAACTCGGTAGTTTTGTTCAACGATACTCTTTTAAATTTCGGGCTCTGTATAATCCGGTGTACTGTACAGTATAACTTGGTGTACTGTATAACCTGGTGTACTGCATAACTTGGTGCAGAGCCCAAAATTTAAAAGAGTATCATTGAACGAAACTCCCAAGTTTCCTTTTTGGGGTCTTAACATTTTTTAGATTTTGATTTAAAAGATTCGACAAAAATTCAGAATATGAAGAAACTAAATAAAAAAATATTTCATAACAAAAAAATTGATATCCACAAAACTTCCTAACCCCATTTATGAAACCCGGGTTTCAAAACTGGTTTTCATAATGATACCCTGTCATAAGTTTTGGGCTCAGTAATGTTTAACCTGGTGTACTGTATAACCCGTTTTGCTGTTTAACCCGGTGTACTGCACATAACCTGTGTGCTGTAAACTCCTTGACTGTCTGCCCCCACCACCACTGTTCATCTGCTGCTAGAATTATCAGGTCTGACATATCCATGTTGTTGTACATCCATTCGGTCCCGTACACTGGTAGCTGTACCCTGAAAATGCTATGTACAATGTACATGCTAAGCAGACTTTACAAATACACCTTGTTCAATCATAGTGCCTGCATATTTTTTTGCGGAAAATAAGATCACAAAGAAATGCAATCCGTTCTTTTCTTCTCTGACCTTTTAATGTCCATGCCATTGGTAGAAAATAGGTATTCCAATGCAAGTGGATAATACTTGCGCGCAATATAGCGAGCCTTTGCACGCAATTGAATTAAATTGAGCCAATTCCGTAATAATTACGCGCAATAAACGCAACGGAATCACGCACAATAAGCGCAATTTGTTTTACTTCCTTGCGTTTAAGAATAATTAAACAATATTGCACGGCGCAATATTTGAGTTTCCAAAAAGATGTATGGGATTGGTAATATAACTAAATGTGCTTGCCTGCCATTCTTTTCCTCTGTATTCACCCATATGGTTATGGGAAATTGTTTAAATTGTGTTAAAAAAATTAAATGATAATTATTTTCAATGTGGAAAAATTGTATTAATTAAAATGAATTCTATATTTGTGTCTACCTAGAACTTTAAAAATGGCCTCAGGTTTCAGTATGCAAATACATGTTAAATAAAACACAAAATTTGATTTTGATAAACTTAACCAAATTTGCCAAAATTATTCTAATATGTAAAATATGTTTTATATTATTTTCTTAAATAAAAATATTCCTGTGTCTCCCCTCTAAGAACTAGAATGAATGCTGTATCAAAGTTATTAAATATTCTAAACCTGGAAAACTTTTCAATAATCTAGAATTTTATGCCAAACTTTCGATATAATGGAAATGAATTCTTTCGTGAGAATCTGGAGTAGAAGAATATTCTATTTTTCATTATTTTATACATTGGTTTCCTAATTTTCCCCTGGTTTCCCTGCAGTTATACCTTCTATTCCTAATTTTCTCCTGGTTTCCCTGCAGTTATACCTTCATTTCCTAATTTTTTCCTGGTTTCCCTGCAGTTAAACCTGTATTACTTAAATTTTCCCTGATTTCCATGATTCCCCTGGTATCCCTGGTTCCCCTGGTTCCCTTGATTCCCCTGTTTCCCTGGTTTCCCTAGTTCCCCTGGTTGCACTAGTTCCTTTGGTTTCCCTGGTTTCCCTGGTGTCTCTTGTTTCTCTAGTTTCGCTTGTTTCTCTGCTTCTCCTGATTCCTTTAAGTTTCCTGGCATCCCCGGTTTTCCTAGTTTCTCTGCTGTTTCTGGTTTTCCTGGTTTTCCTGGTTTTCCTGGTTTCTCTGGTTCCCCTGGTTTCCAAGTTCCGCTGGTTCCCCTGGTTTCCCTAGTTTGTTCTGATTTCTCCCTATTTTCACAGGTTCCCCTGGTTTCCTTTTTTCCCCTAGTTTCCCTGGTTTTCTTGGACTATTCTGGTTTTCCTGGTATTACTTTAGCTACCCTGGTTCCTCTGATATTCCTGGTTCCCCCAGTTCCCCTGACGTCCCTGGTGTTCTTGTTTTCTCTGGTTTCCCTAGTGTTCCTGGTTTCCCTGTTTCCTCTGGTTCCCATGGTTTCCCTGGTTTTCCTGGTTTCCCTGTTTTCCCTGGTTTTCCTGATTTTTCCTGGTTTCCCTGGTTTCCCTGGTTTCCCTGGTTACCCTGGTGTTCCGGGTTTCTCTGGTTTCTTTGGTTCCTGGGAGTTCCCTGGTATCCTTGGTAATTCTTAATTCCTCTGGTTCTTCTTATCTTACCCTGGTTCTTCTGTATTCGTAGTACCTTTAGTTTCCCTTGACCTTTACTTTAGTCACCCGGTTCTTCTGATTTACCTGGTTTTTCCTGGGTTTCACATGATGTCACTGGTCTCCCTGGTTTCCTCTCATTTTCTTCTCATTTTCCTGGGGATTTTAGGTTTCCCTTGTTATGTTGATATCCCTAGTGGCTCTCTGGTTTCCCCTCCTTTTCCTGGTTTTCCTGGTTTTTTTAAGTTTCCCTTGTATCCCTGGTTGTCTGTTTCCCTGGCGTTCCTGAAGTTTCCGTGCCGTTCCTTTGGTTTCCTTGGTATCCCTGTTTTCTCTGATATCCCTGGTTTCCCTGGTATTCTGGAATTCCTTGTATCCTGGTATCTCTGGTTTCCATGTTTTTCTAATTCCCGGGTTCTTGGCTTCTTAGTCCGTCTGGTTCCCCTTGTTAAAGGAAATGTTTATGGCCTGGACTTTTTGTCCAGGGTGGATCCAGGATTTGGATCCGGATCCAGGATTCGGATCAGGATCCAGGATTCGGATCCGGATCCGCATCAAAATTAAATTGATTTTCACATAGGTCTTTTGATCGAGTAAAATTTTAATGTTTAACTTGTTATTGTAAATAAGCTGTTACGCGAGCTACGCTGCGTTCATAAAGTCTATGTGATACCCCTGTGATTCTCTGAGTTCCCCCTGAGGATCTGTACAGAACGTATTGTGAAGAACTAGTTTTAGAAGCTGTTTACAGTCCGACTACGCATGCGCAAGTTCTCTGCGTAGGAGCGAGCAGATTCTACTTCAGTATATAGTTGTATTTCATGTAATGTTCGTCGATTATTAAAACCGTGTGAAAATTCTAGGACCACTGCGGTAATTATGATTATATTTATATGAATATTGTTTATTTATGTTCGGTTATGGTTGATATTGTATGATGTAATGTATGGGTTCCTTGCCACAGTTTTTTAATGCCTGAGTGGATTTATTGCTGTATTTGTATGATTTATCACTCAATGCTTTTTCTGTTGGCTTATAAAAGATTATTTAGATTGAAGGCTTAGAGAAATAAACGTTCGGAACCTTATTATCATCCTTTTGTTATGGAGAGCGTTGAGAGAAGGAAGCCTTACAATCCTATCCAGAGAAATACCACTCGGTACTTATAGATTTCATTAGGTCTTTAGGGAATTCGCTAAGTAGCGAAACATAAGCTTGTTAAAAATCAAAACTAAAATAAAAAGTCGTCTTTATTAGATTGATTTTATCGTCTTTATTAGATTGATTTTATCGTCTCCCACTGTATAAAGTTAACAATTCTTCAGATTAACTTAGACTGCAGTGATCATAACTTCAGATTAACTTAGACTGCAGTGATCATGACTTCAAATAAAAGTTCTGTGTCAATAGAGCAAAATAACAAAATTGAAGGGTTTAAAAAGGGAGAGGGGGAAGGCAGGGGGTGGGGGGTATTAAAGGGGAAAATAGTAAAATTGGGGCAATCTACAGAAATACAGGAGCTGGGAGGGAGTTTTAAAATATTTCATTCTTGTAACTTTTATTTCACGTATAAAATTTTGTTCTGCGCTTTCTACTTGTATTTTTTACTTTAAATAAAACCAATTTTCTAGAATTATTGGAAATTCTTAAAAACTGTTTTCCATTTTTAAAATATCATAGATATTTCAGCCCAAACGGCTTAAGCGATTGGCTGGAAGTTTTTGTGGACACTCAGGGGTGGCCGGGGGTGTTATAGGCTAAAAAAAATAAAAATGATGCTTTTTTCAAAAATACTTTTTTCAAAATGCGTTTTTCAAAAATGTTTTTTTTCAAAATTTTTTTTTAAAAATTCCACGGGCAACGCCTTATCCTTCAGCTAGTATTTAATAAAAATGCCCCTCCCCGGTACTCGTTACCCCCACCCCCCTCCCCGGCCCTCTACCTTCACCACTTTCATATACTTACTGAGAAGAAAAAAAATTTTCAAAAAATTAAATTTCATGACAATTCGTTTTTATTTGAAATATATTTTCTTCTTTGAAGGAATATGTCAGCTAAATTTTATCCAAATCTAAATATCATGTTTTTATGAAGTTTTAGAAATTACAGCTATTTTCTTTTAACATCGTAAATTTCAAAGCAATTTCTTTTTCTGGGAAATTGCTGCAGTGATATTACATAATAAGGCGAATGTCACTCAGTATCAGTCGTCTTCAATGAGGAAAACACCTGTTATTGTTCAAATCCTAAAACATGTTGAATTCTATAAATTACATTCTTTGTCTCTGTTGAATAATATCCGCAAGTAACGTTTATAACATACAGAAACTACAATATAAGAAAATATAACTTTTTTCAGAAAATTAAGTTTAAAGTCAGTTGTAGATTGAATGCATCTTTACTTCAACTATTCCCATTGTCAAATCTGAGAATAAACTTTAAAAATGTTGGAAAGCTGTTTATTTTTTCTCTCAAGCATTTGTCAACAACACATAAAGGAAATTTCCAATTCACCTAACCCCCCCCCTCCCCCC